GTATAGTTGCACGGCTGCACCCGGCTAGAGCTGATGTCGCCTGCTTATATCGAGGTGCATCTCAGTGACTGCTTGCGGCGGTAATCATGAACAATGCTGTGGCCCAGTATGCGAATATGATGAAGACACGAATGTGATGCGCAAACTCTGGTACTCCAGTACTTGCGCTATGGGCTTCATAAAAGGATAACTCAAGAACTCTACGGCTGTTTGAGCGTCTACTCGCTGCTGCAGTACACGTGCATAAGTCTTATATTGCAGCTGAGCTGGAGAAAGCCACTTGATTGACCACTGGTTCGCCCCAACACCGCTTGCTGGGAACAGCAGAGTACCGTCCGTTGCAACAAAAAATAGCGAGACACATGCTTCAAGGTCTGTACATTTCAAGTTAATGTGTGTCGAATATAGGGAAAACGGAGCCCTTTTTGCATGCTTACTGTGAGAGCACTTGCGCAGCGTACTGCAAGGGGGGAGTGTACTACCGTGGTGTCCCGTAGGTGAAAAAAGCAAGTAAGAGAATACAGGGAAAATTCAGCCATCAACCAATTTTTCTAAATTTAATCTTCAGATCCACTTAGTTCCGCAGTTACTTTTCGTTCCGTGCGTTCATGTGGTCAGGTTTGCTGTTGATTAAGTAGGGGTGACCCCACAGTTACAGCATGCGCCCACCCATCTGCATACTGTTGTGCTGCTTTTGGTAAACTTGATTTTCTAGTGTGAGCGGCTTTGCATACTTTGGGGTATGTCACGTAGCATCAGAAGTTTGGCGAAGCCGCAGGTGGAGTCGACAATGCAATGCGGTGGCCGTGCCCTTGTTAACTCGCAGCCAAAAAAGCCCGAAATACTTGAGCTCCGGTCTTGATCGTGGTGAGGTTTTGATGCATCTCGCGTTCTAACTTGTCAGCGAATAAAACGAAAGTGTACAGAGGCATTGCCACGGCCCTCACAATGCGTGGTGTCAGATCCGATGAGTGGAGCACCACCAATGCACGTAAGATTCAAGTATTTTATTTCTCTTGCATCACCAACAAAATGCTCGAAATGCAAGTATTTTTGCTAGTCTTAGTACAGCTGAGAAGCACCTCCACAGGCCATTTAGTGGCAACCAATCGGGTACCCCGTGTTCAGTAGCCGGAAGGGCCCAACGCTTACCAAGACATGAAGCTGGCAGCTATCCAGCTGTCGTATATTTATCCTATACTTTTGTCCTCTTGGTATTTACATCTCTTTGGAGTGTATAGTCTGCGCAGACTTCCCCATAAGAGTCGCCTCTGCGCAAGGCACTTATGTATGTCGCTACTTTTAAAGTGCATTCAGAGGATGAAAGATGCACAACTAATCATTTGCTAGGCTGTACATGGAGAGGTACAGAATTCATACGGCAGATTTTGAGTTGGATTTTATGCTTGCATCCGGCAAGAATACCGGGAGTGCATGGGGACGGGAAGGGAAAAAACTGCCAGATAAACCAGTGGATTGATGCGCAGCGATATAAACGTCATGATCATTAAATTAGATCATTTAAAATCTGTTTTAGGTTGTCCTATCAAACACATGATGAACAAAAATGACCCACACAATGCAACTTGCTTCAGAAACTGAAGTTGCGTTGCACTTGTTTACGGACCTGTGTTCAGCGCTCTGGTAAGTTTATGGGCTCTCAATCAGTGCTGCAACGCTCTAGCTATACGGTGTCATAGAAGTGTTAAACATATGGCAAGGTGAGGTGACGCCTTGTGTTCGAGACTTCTGTTGGTTAGCCTACCCCGGATTTCCGCGTCACGACCAAATAGGGTATGCAGCGAAGTACTCACCTAGTCAAAAAAGTTGTCTTCCTTTTCCCCTTTAGAGCTATGATTGGTATAACTTCTTAAAACTGCTTTTGTCTGGCTCTACACTGTGCTGTCCATCGGTGGGTGGGCGAAGTTGATCAAATATTTGAAGTGTGCTCAAGACGGCGCTCAACGCACAGGCAGGCGTACGTCAGCGCTTTCTATGGGCACGTTTTCCCTCTTAAATGCGTTTTCAATTGTGATACTTTTCATAGGATATAAAAGTCCTGCTCAAAAGATTGACACACACACAGATAATAGTACATTGTTCCCCAGAGATTGAGAGCAAATTTATCATGAACAGAATGCATTTTTACACAGATTCTGAGCACTATAATGCTTCAACAAAAAAAGTTCACTTGGAATTTTGTCATCGCTTTACGCGTGGTGCGTATATCTAATGTTGGATAGCTTACAGTTGCACCGTTGGACGCTAAGCTACGTTAATGGTGGACAAAGTGCACGCGACGGCGTATCGGATGACGTTGGCAAGTTAGTCTCGAGAAGAAATTGCTCAAAGTATAGGGAGAGAGCATCCAATGCGGTATAAGGGTGGCAAATAAACTGTGCGATAGGTTCGAGCCTGGGCACTATCACTAAACACACCAGCGATACGATTCGCGAGGCCGTCAGCACCGCAAAAAACTGAAGCTGATCTCATGATCTTGGCTGAACGGGAATGTTACCCGACTTATAAGTTATATCTGGAACTGGAAAGGTTCCATCACTTGCAAAGTCTTGGTGAGATGCATCCAGCTGCTGAAAAATTTTGCAGCCACAGCGCCTAACGTAGGACAACTTGGTTGCAGTTCTGCACCTACCTTGCTCACCTGCCTGACTGCTGGCAATGCGGAAGGCAAGAAGTCTGTGTGGACAAAGCTAGCTTTCTTGTGTGCCCCGCCCATCCCAACGGCAGGGGGATGACTCCCAAAAGTGCTCTGCGACGCTCAAGCCAACGCTAACGGCCACCTAGATCTCATGACATGCTACACTTTAGATCCCTCACTTTAAGGCAACCAGCCTAAGACGTTAAAATTAAATCACATGTGGAATATCAATGCATGAGCTGTAATCCGGGGCGCATACGGAGAAAGGTGTCCATGTAAACCGAAAGACAAACATAGGACTAGCCCACACGGCCGAGCGTCTAGCAAGGCTGACCAATTTGTAAAGCATGAGCCTCAAAATGCTACACAGGTCTTGGGTGTCTGTTCGTGATGCCCCAGCGTTACATACTGCCAGCATGGTAGGTCCAAATTCAGCTTCGCTCAGAGCGGTGAATAAGAGAATAGCGGATGAGGCTCTGAGCAGTGTGCCAGTCAGTTGAACGAAGTGACGTCACTGGAGGAGTGCTTTACGTTCGCAAGAAATTGGGCGTGAAGTAAGCTGGTTGTAGGGATCATCATGTAGTGTGCTGCTGCATCCTCATCTGCCTTGCCAAAAGAGTAGTTCCGATGCATTCGTATCAGTAATCACGGTGAAGTACATAACGTATATTGTATATTTTTATCTGGTTGTCGCCGCGCTCTTTACGGTATGTTTCCACATCTCCTTATCCTTAGGAATGGACTTTGAAGAAATACTTCTCTGTTGACTATGTACTGTGGATGGGAATGAGAAACACAGGTTGCGCTTTTTAAATCATACCACTTGAAAATTTTAAACTTTTAGCCTTAGCGCAAGATGGTTCAGGTGTATTGACTTTACGGTAAGTTGCTACAGGCGTGTTGTAGGGGACCCAGACAAAGATGGATCAACGGCACCCTGGGAGGCATAAAGCAACGCTACCTCAAGTGCATGTTACGGCACTCGCAACTGTGCACATAAAAACATGCAGAAGTGCCGAAGTACAATACCGCGTATATGCCATTTTACGCCCAGCATTTTAAGTGCATGGCTCCAAAATAAATTCCTCCACACACCTATGTTGGCGTGTGGATGCAACAAGCTGTATCTCTATGTTCAACGGTTCTGTCGGCTTTACTGAGTAGAAACTGGATTAGTGCAGCTTCAGATGTGCATGCAGGACTTTCCAGGTTATGCAAGCATGCCGATGCAGGCCATGCCTGGAATTCCGACCTAACGTATTTCGGCAATGAAAATGCTGACTGTGAGGAGGCAAGGCACCACTGCCCGGAGGACCACGAGGCAGCAGCATTCGGGAGCTGCTTCGACAGCACGACACAAGAAGCCCCTCGCACCTGGACATAAAACAACACACATCGGCGAAATACAGGTTCCCGGGCTATCCGCAGCGACAGACGCGCCTATGCTGCGTTTTGCGGCCCTTGTGCGTCAATGCACTGTTTCGAGGGCAGCAGCAGGAGCTCAACTGCAGGCGAAACTCGTGTTGCTGTTGTCAAAAATTCGCATCCGTTCACCGTAACTCTTGTACCGACGAATGCCGCGACCCTCTGTGCCGACCGCATGCTGGTGTGAGGAACCTATGAGTCCCCAATACCTCGAAATGCGCCTTTTAAAAACCGAAAGACTGCGACAATCAAGCCTTTTTGGTACGAAAAATGCATGGAATTAAGCCAGCCATTCAGGGTACGGGAATTTGTGGTTACCGCGATAGTGCCCGAGGGCATTGTGTTGAATACAAAAGCCCATCCACACATCAAAATGGCACCTGAACGTAGTTTGTGAAAAGCGGAATGCCCGGATCTAAAAGAGACCGCGACGCCACACTCTACTCACTAAAGCAACCGATAGAAGCTGCCCGTTGCATGCCTTGGGGACGCTGTAGGCGGACGGCCGACAAACTATTCTGTGCTGTAGTCCAAGTTGGGTACTGAAACTGTTATCCCCAACTGAAGTTCACTCTCCCTGCCAACTAGTCTCTCTGCCCTTTGGCGCATCTCGCAGTCTGCACCGGCCATAAGACTAGCTGTGCTGCTTCTGTGCTGGGTCGTTCCCCTCCCTAGTCCCTGGAGATATTTCTGTGTCGGTTCGAGTGTGTCTCTCTCTTTCCGTCTCTGCCTCGTCCAGTCGGTGCCTTGCATGTGCTTCCGCCTTCACCTCGCGCCTTTGGATCGGCCTGTACCTGTAGCTTTGCCTGTGCACGTCTCTCGCAAGGAGCCCAAGCGCCGCCTGCCGGTTGGAAGGGAGCAGAGGGCAGCAGCAGCTCGGAGTTGAGTTTTTTTAGACTCGAGCTCGATTCAGCTTCTAGGCCGCAGTAGGCAGAAACATCACATCGCGGATAGAGGCAACCCCCATTAACAGCTGCACTAGGCGGTCTATGCCAACCCCCAAGCCTGCAGTCGGGGGGAGCCCTAGTGCCAGACAGTCCACAAAATCCTGCAGCAGCAGCAGCAACAACATACAGGGTGGCAGACCTTCACGGGTGACCTTCCCTCCTCCTTTTTTCGCGCATGTCATTCACTGCCACGACGTTATTCAAGTTGTGATTCTTCCCTCTGAGCGCGGGTGCAGGTGGCTCTGGAGGTCAGTCTTCATGCCATCGTTGCATGTCTCCGTCGGGTATTTGAGTACGGCTCCCTCCAAGTCTGCGTCTGTCTATCTGCCCTTCTGCACCGCGCTGTGCATCGCTGCGCACGAGTCTCTACCGGCCTAACTGCCCCTCTGCGTTGCTTACCTCTGCGTTCGCTGCGGCTGTCTCTGTGTCTAGCGACTGGAGCTTGGCGGTCTGAGCTGCGAGTCTCCTCCGCTGCTCAGATGGACACGCCAGCTCGGCGTAGCCGTCCGCAATTTCCATGCCCCCTACATATGTTTCAAACCTTTCAGCGAGCGGTACTGGCCATGCTGAGGCGCTTCCTGCTGCTGCTGGAGGAGGTGCTGCTGGGGCTGCCAGCGGTGACAGGAGGAGGGGGGGGTGCAGCACGTGGGTTGGCTGAAGCAAACGGGGTTCTACAAAACGCTTGAACAGAAATGCAGATAGATGTTCCTTGCTCAGAACGCAGCGAGAAGGCAGCGGCTCCTGGTGTTGCTGTTGCTGCCTCAGTAATTCTTCCGCCTGCCGCAGGGCCTAAAAAAGACAAAATACGATACAGCAGCGAGCACCGAAGGTGCACTGCTGGGAGCCCCTACTGCTGCCTGCCCTACTCCCGCTGCTACACTCTCTGCTACACTTGCTGCTGCTTCTAACCTCTTCGTGACGCAGATTCTGCAACTCGATCCCGGTATAAGTCTTGATTGCGTCAAAGTAGGCAATCTCCTGAAAGGGGGTCGCCCAGTTCACCGACTTGAAAATACCCCTACCCTCAAGCTCCCGAGGCAGCATGCCCCCAGGTGTAGTTCCAGCTGATGGCGCCTTGTCTGCTGCGGCTGCTAATCCTGCAGACGCGAACCCCAATGCAGAAGCAGCAGCAGCAGCAGCAGCAAGCAGCATCTGGGTAAGGCGGCGCATGTCTGCGGCAGTGTGAAGGACGGCGTAAACCTCAAGAGACGTAAATTCGAAGTGATGCCGCCAAGAAATGCCTTCGTTCCGAAAGCAGCGGCCGATCTCGTACAGCTGCAGCAAACGCAGTAGGCTGGCAGGAAGGTTCAGTCATTGTGTTGCACCAGGAGCAGCAATACCGTGGCGTTCAAAGAATTTGCATGGCCTAGCCCACAGTAAGTACACCCCAGCGGCCCCAGCAGCAGCACTTGCAGAGACGTACGAACACCAGCAGCCAAGTACCTTATCAGAGACGCCAGCAATCACCAGTTTCTTGAGGTTCAGTTCGGGGGCTTGACGCAGCACAACACCTGCCTTCGTCTGAAGCAGACATCCACCACAACAGATTTGTGCCTGCTAAACTTGCTCTCGCGTGAAGGCTGTTGCTGCTCCTCCTGCTGCTGGTAAGCTTACCGCGTTCAGCTGAGAGGCGAAAAGGCGGACTGTTTCGCTGCTAGGAGGAGGAGCAGCAGCAGCAGAGAGATGCTGCTGCTGCCGCCGGTGCCGCTGCTGCGGTGGCTGCTGCTGCTGGCGCTGCTGCTGCTGCTGCATGCGTAGGAGACAGGGAGTATCGACGGAGAGGAACCCTTCGCCATCAAGCAAAGATCTCACGGCCTTAATTATGGCGCTGCGACCCCGAAGCAGTCGCCGTCTTTCAGGATTTTGCAGTAAAAGGGACACATTGCGAATTCCACTGCTGCTCTCGTGCAGCTGGTGCTGATCTTCTGCTTCGTTATCGCCATCCCAGGCAGGCTGTGGCATTTGAGGCTCCTGCTGTTGCTGCTCCTTTTGCTCCTGCTGCTGCTGCTCCTGCTGATGCTGCTCCTGCTGCTGATGCTCCTGCTCCTGCTGTTGCTGCTCCTGCTGCTGCTGCTCCTTTTGCTCCTGCTGCTGCTGCTCCTGCTGTTGCTGCTCCTTTTGCTCCTGCTGCTCCTGCTCCTGCTGTTGCTGCTCCTTTTGCTCCTGCTGCTCCTGCTCCTGCTGTTGCTGCTCCTTTTGCTCCTGCTGCTGCTGCTCCTGCTTTACGCGTGAGCGTTGCAGCTGCTGCTGCAGCCGACCCAAATACCGCTGCACCAGCAGCAGTTGCGGTAGCCAAGGGTTGCGGCTGCTCTCCTGAGGCTGCTGCTGCTGCAGCCGATCTTTCTCCTGGAGGGCAGCAGCGCAAACAGACGCTGGTCCTACGTCTGCTATATGTTGCAGTAACAGCAAGCGGGCTGTAGCAATAGCAGCGCTGGCGGGAGACTGCTGCAGAAACCCCACTGCTTCCGGCGGGAGCAGCTGCTTCGCCAGCAGCACGAGAGGCTGCAGCGGTGCATGCGACCCTCTCTGGAAGCCATGCGATAAATCCACCGTCAGCTCGCCGCGCAAAGTCTTTCTCATAATGCCTCTGACGAGCACCACATCACCTAGATCAAGCAGCGGCAGCAGGTGCTGCACTGAGCACCTGGAGGTCCCTCCCTCGCAAGCGCCGGCTGCTCGAAACGCTCCAAGATCCCCCTCGACAAGGCTGCATGCATTCCATGCCATCGCCATCTTCTTTTCCATCTTCTCCTTCTCTTCCATCTCCTCCTTCTCCTCCTCCTCGGAGGAGGAGGAGGAAGAGAAGGCGGAGATATCCTGGGCAAGACTTCCTGAGGGGATGGCGCCTTCAGCAGCCTTCCGAAGCGGCCCCCGTGCATACACCTGGAGCTTAACAGCTCCGTTGGGGTCGTTTAGAGGCGATATGTCGAAGAACGCGCCTCCATTTCGTATGCTGGTAATTCTGCCGCATGCAGCTTCGTGCGGTTGCGCCTGGGGGCCGGCTGCGTCGACTGCCGTCGCCGCTGAACAAGGAGACAAGCTCGCATATCTTCGCTGCAAGTCCTCTATAGAGCTCAAACGCAAGTTTCGCCGTTCCTGCCCCAGCTGGTGCTGCTGCTGCAAGAGCTGCTCGGTAGTAGGATGCGTGTTGATCCCTAGAACGGACTGCAGCAACAGCCACTTCGAAACCCGCCGCAGAAAGTCGGCATCGCGAAGAGCCAACCCGCTGCTGCTGCCTTCGCCTTTGCACGATCTGCTGTTAGTCTTGCAGTCCTCCGCATCTGTAGAGATTCCAACGCAAGCGGATCTGGAGGCACTCCGTGTGGGGGCAGTAGCGTCGCAGACAGGCCTGTGCACGAGCTGCCGCTGCTGCTGCTGCTGGCGCCAATACCGCCCTTGGCGCGCTGCTGCTGGCAGCGTTGCTGCTTGCCTCCTGCCCACAAGAAATGCCGTGCAGACACAGTCCTGCCAACGAGGCTGAAGGGTGACTCCCCCTGCCGTCTCTATGACGGCTGCTAAACCGCGGCTGCGCAAGAAGCAGACTTCAGCTGTAAGCAGCAGCAGCAGCGGCAGAGTGAACTTGAGCGTTGGGGCTCCCAGTTTCATGGGGTCGCATTGGCAACGGCAGCAAACGACTTGCAAGTGCAGCGGCAGTTGTTGCTGCTTCGAGTGCAGCCTCTAGGCTTGCTGCCGCTATTCTGCCAGTTCCACTGGAGCCCAAATGTTGGCACTGCTGCCGCCGCGTTGTTGCTGCTGCATTCAGCGCGACTGGCTGGGTTGCAGCAGCAGCTGCTGCTGCAAGCGTGGCCGCTGCTCGTGCTGCTGCTGCTTCTGCCTTGCTAGTGTTGCACTTGCAGGCGGCCTGCTGTGTGTGTAGTCGAAACGGCGTTTGGGCGAGCCAGACGCGTACTCGAGAGCAAAGAGACGCTACGAGGATCCACGTGTTGTCGCGCACGGCTAGCGGCGGAACGCAGAAGAAACCGTCCGCCTACGTCGGAAGCCTCAAGACATCTGGAGCAAGAACGGAGGATCTGCGCTCTCAACCCTGGAGCGTACACCCACTCTAAAGGGAGCATTCCCGTCTGCAACAAAAGAATTGAACTTAATAAGCAGCTTTAAAGCCACTTTTGCAGGATAAGGACCCCTACGGCAGGCTGCTCAGCGCTCTCCGCTGCCCAGACAACCCCCCCGGTCCTTGACGCCCGTGGCAGCAGCGGTGACAGCACCAGCACGACTCTATCAGGAGCAGCAGACAATTATCCCTTTCTAGCTGACCAAGGTTTCCTTGTTCCTCCTCGCTATTCGACGGAGGAGCACGCTCACCTTTGCCGCCACTGTACAGAGTGCGTGCGTCCCAGCAGCAGTCGAAAGGTTGCTACGGCGGCCTCGTTTCGTTGCGAGACAGTCGAATTCGTTGTTCCTTTCTGGCTGGTATTTGAGGCGCCGCAGCAGTCGCTGTATTCTGGGTGTCTCTGCAGCGACAGCGAGAGACCAGCGGCAACCCAAGCGTCTGCAAGATGGCAGCAGCACACGACGACTTCTTCAACGGCAAGAGCAGCGAATTCGACTTAGTACAGCAGGATGACGACTTCCTACTGGACAGCGTGGAGCAGCCAGAGGCACTTCCCGTGCAGGCCGTGCAACAGGCGGAGCAGCGGCAGCGCGAGAAACTGAATAACGGCATAGACTTCTCCGCTGCAGACAGCCCGGGCGATCGTGAAAAGAGGGATGAACGGCAACTTGGCAGGAGCGACCCCTTCGACCCTTTTTCCACCGAAGAAACCTCTTTTCCCAGTGATGTCTTCGGAGCTGCTCCCCCAAGGGCAGCCTCTGCTCGGGAGGCCTCTGAGCTCGGGCAGCCTCAAGGTGCCACTCAAGATGCAGCGGTGTCTTTGACTCCCGAAGAGCAGGCAAAGCAGGCGCAGCAAATGCAACAGCAGCAGCAGCTGTTGCAACAGCGACAGGATCTCCAGCAGCAGCTGCAAGGGGACATTGAGATCCGGCAACGCGAGGAACAAGCCCAGCGGCAGCAGCAGCAGCAAATTGCTGATGAGGAAATTCGAACTTTTTATGAACAGAGAGAGAGACATCTGGAGAGGCGCAAGGCACAGCTCAAGTACAGTTGTGCCACTCCTAACACTCAGCGCCGCTTGTGCACAGTAGACTGCTTGCGTCGCTGCTGTCCCTTTTCGTTGCCTGCTGCTGCTGCTGATCCTAGCGCTGTACTTTCTTGCAGTTTCTGCGTCCGGCTCTTCTAATGCTACGTCTGCCGATGCCCTAGTTGACACTGTAGTGATCGTGCGTCGTTGGCGAGAGAGCATGACACAAAAAAACGCAAATCCAAAGCCTTCAACTCTTGCCTGTGGCTGCATCCTCAGGGCACAGGCCTCTGCAGCCGCGGCAAAGGAGCAGCAGGAGTGCGGCAGTGGATGGGCTCGTGTATACTGGCTGGTGAATCACAGAAGCAACAGCGGCGCCACTGCAACAAAAGAAAAGGACCGCCCTGAGCTAAGCCGCATGCGCCGGATGTTGGCAGAGCTAGCGGCTGAGGCGTCACATTCGTAAGACAAAAACGAACGAAGAACACGAAGGACGACACCAGGTGCCTATGACTCACCTCTCACAAGCGGACATTTAGTCATACATACATCGCATTCTCCCTCGAAATTCGTTCATGGAGGTAGGTGGGTTCTTGGTACAATGCGCATGTGGAATTCCATCTCGGCCCCTAAAGCCTTTTGTTTTTCTCAATGCCGCAGACTGCAGCGCCATAAGTGGATGCCCCGCGGAATCACATGGCACACGGGGAAGCACAGTATGCGAATGTGCAGATATATATGTACGCAAATATATGTATATGGCAGTATTTATAAGAATATTGTCCACATCAATATACGCATATGCATATATCAACAGGTGCATTTACGTGCAATACGTATGCGTACTTCCGTATTTGTTACGTTAACATCTGTATATATGTGTGTTTATGGAGTGTGGCCATGTGTCTGGGAGTTGTTGGAGATGATGTCTGTTTCGTTTTCCGTCCTTCTTATGGCCGCGTTGCCATTGTTCCTTTTTCATTTGAACCACATTCTCGTAAATACGCGTAATAAAATTCAATTTGGGGGGGCATTCTAGTGGGCAGGCTCCACAAAATTGCAGCAAGCGCAGCAGCAGGCAGCAGGTGCCTATGCAGTTTGAAGGGTGATGGATTAAGCTTTTCGGCACTTGGATAGTAGCTGGAGTCACTAAATTTGAAGGAAAAGTAACGACTAGCCTCTGTTAAGTGCAAGGGGAGAACAGGAGCTTTTGAAGGCACATTCGTCTTAGTTGAAAAGTCAAACAGCTCCTGAGGTGCGTTGGTGGGGTTCCACTTGATCACATTGGTACATGCCAGCTGAGCTGTATAGATGTAGAAAAGATCATTGTTCGGTGGAGGCGTACTTCGCTGTTGCAGCGACCACACAAAAATAAATTTCGGGTGCTTTGCGTCGTCGTTTTGTCATGCGGCTGGATAACTCAAAATATTCCGGACTACGCTCCAACCCACTGGAAAAAAGCGACAATGCGATGAGACCGGATTTGTGTAAACAATACGGAGTTTAAGACTTGATAAACGTAGCTTGTGCTGGTCCGCTGTTGCATCAACAGCGTGAAATTCATTGTGGGGGTGAATGTTTGGCCTTGCCTCTGGTGCTGGCAGAGGTGATCCAGCCTGGGATATCAATCGTCGAGCAGGCTGTCGAGCATGACACCGAACCCCAGCAAGCAGATCGGGGTTCTACGTTGCGCTGGACAGCGGCAAATTTAGGTTTTCCAGTGAAGTTCTAATTAGCTACTACAATCCTTCAAGCAGAGAACAATGCTACCCTTCACCCTGATGTTGCAGCATCAGATACAGTATAACTACATGCATCACGCGCTACCCCACCTAGTAATCCAATACAAGAACGCAATTAAGTTTATGCTCTCTTAGTCACCAGAACTATATCCTTGTTCCACGCACACACAATCTGCGTGTTGTATAGCGCTTCGACTTGGCATCTTATGTTCTTAAAGAAGCTACGCAGCATCTTGAATTCTACTACCCAAACTTCGCATAATTACATACTTGCACGAACATTAAATTTAGGGCAGGTTCAGGAATCATTTCAATGTTTTGACGCAATCTATCGAAAACCTAAGCGGCCCTTCCGCTTCGATTACTGTATGTATGTTGAATTTTCCCGCACACACGGGAAAATTTGGAGGCGGAAGGTGCAAAACGCCGATGCTCGCACAGCCGGGAAAAATACGAAGAACAAAAACCTGTTGAAATTTTTCAGAGCAGAGCGACTAACGAAACAGCGAGTAGTGCTCTGCTCTTCTCGTACTCTATTCACCGCTAGTTAGCTGAAACTGTGGATGTGAAATTCTTCGAGACTGGGGAGATTTGTGGTTGGTGGAATCACCAACTAGACTTTGATCGGGAAATTTTGTATTATGGAGAAGTTGCCTTTCTTTTGGGTTTTTCCTGCGATAGCATAAGCGCATATCGTCGAAATTGTCAGTGGGTTCTCGCCTACGGTGTCAGACATTCGTACGGAGTATTCGCAAGTCACTTTGCTTGATGAAATGCTACATCACGAAAAATATTATGCATCCACAGCGGAGCGCCATCGCCCTAGCCCCGTAGTATCATTAAACAGAGTCACTGCGTGTCGAAGTACAGCAGCTGCAGCGTTCGGGCTAGTTTACTTTAAAAAGATGTTCTGTGTCGAAGCATGTCGGGGAGGCAGACTTAACTGGCCCGTTGTATTCTACGTAGGGTGAGGGCATAGCCTAGAAAAGTGTAAAATGCTGCAAGTATCAGCCATCGCTTTCTCTACAGCAACGTAGGATGTATCACCAATGACCCCTTAGGGGTCTAGCTGGGGGCACCGTTTCCTGTGCTTATGCTGATGGGTTTCACCTGAAACTGGCTCGTTTAGAAGGGTGGTGCCCCGTGTGTGGAAATTTTTTCCTGCTTATTTACTCGCAGTGCATCTACCTCCTTCATTATATCAGACGACCTATGACAGAATGGTCAGGAAAGTTTACTTGGCATCGACGGCAGTGCTGCAGTGTCCTGGTAGCAGTGGGGTGGAGAATTACAAGATGCGTTCCCCTGTGTCGAGGGCCTGCATCAGTGGATATGCGCGAGCCGCTTCTTATGAGTGTTGAGCCTCATTCGCTTTGTTTCGTCCCCTACTGTTTCTTATTCTAGTGCTCTGAGCGTTCCATTATGGGCTGTCGGGGCACATCTGCGACTGAAGCCGTGTTAAGAAAACTTTGGGGTCTAGAAGTATATTATTTTCATTGTGTGTCATAACTGCTTTGCTACTGGAAATGAAAGCCGCTCTGTGCATATCGGATCATTTGATGGGGTTGCTGTGGATGCCCTCCTGTTGTTAGCCGCAAGACCCGTGGAGCTGAAAGCGAGAAAATACACGGCTTAGCAGTGTATCTTCATACCCCAACAATAAGCATGTAATTTCAACGGCTGTTATGGTCCCGCTGGATTCTCGCCGCTTCCCAAAAAGCCGTTGCTTTGGTGCTGGCTTGCCTGCCACCGTCGACGGGCCACCGACGCCTAACCGCGAACAGCGTCAACACACTGACCCTGATGTCTAATGCTTCCCTTGAGCAACCACAGCGTATTTTCTTAGGCTATTTGAGGTGTTTCGACGCGTTATCGCGCAATTCCTACTGCCTGCTTGTTTGCCACTACCGACAGGCCGCCGACTCTGGACAGCAGACAGTGCCACCGCACGGACGACCCCGATGTCTGTTGCTCGCTACAAGCCTCCATTGCAAGTGTTTAGCTAAGTGGACCCGTTAAGTCTTTGTTTTTTACTGTATCGACAGCAAATCCTCTTCAGCCTGAGCCGTGTAACAGCGATCAGACATTGAATGGCCCACTGCCGAGCAGAGTCCCCCTGGTTCTTCAGACAGCGGCCGCGGCTGTAATGACTCTGTGGCGCTTGGATCATCTCTTTTCTACCCGCATTTAGCAGTAGGATCTGGTTCATCTGGTGTCATTTCTACTCACACTCTGCGCGACGCGCCACTGGTTGGCAGTTGTGGTTAGCCCCCCGTTTAGACAGCGGTCCCGCTTCGAACTCTCGAGCTCGCTTGAAGTTTCGTCCAGAAGCTTCCCTTTCTCTCCCTTCTACTCCATGAAAGCGTGGGTAGAAGAGGTTTTCTCTCTGAGCCGCATGGGGTTACGGAAAAATATCGAGCTCACGCTTTCGTTTCCCGCTTGAAGGCACGCCCCCCGGCACTGTGGGCTCTCGCTTACCCAGTCGCCTCTGCTCTAGACGCAGAACATTGAGGCTCCGATATCCGGATTTTGAATGTGCGACGCAACGCAATGGATGGCTCTGACGAACAAGCAGCTCCGAAGGCCGGGATCGCTGGAAGCAACCAGCGGCGTCTGTTGCTGGAAGTGCTGCGGGCAAACCTCCGTGTAAGGAGTAGCTCAGCGGTTGGGAAGGCGTTTAGCCAGACAGCGCCCCTGAATCAGCATACAGCACACCAGGCCGCTGCTTTTATGCCACGCCTTGACGGACTTGCACCGACTATGGCTGCTGCTGAACACATTACTGCCATGCGCGCCGCAGTACATCACCAGCACGGTGTTACAAGGATCGAGCAGGAGAGAGCCCTTGACGCTGTCTCCATCGCTCGAGAGAGTGCTTCACGGCAGGCGCGTGCTGCTACTCGTAGCCACCCTGCTCCCGAGAGCGTTTGTTCAACAAATCTTGCGAAAACTGACTGCGGAGAGAGGTGCAAAGCAGCCCGTGACAGCGCATCTTCGTCCTCCTACAACAAGCCAGCCCCGGAGGTTGGCTTCCAGCGTGGCCTTAGCACTGCTCTTTTCGCGAAGCTGGCGGAGACGCTCTCCGTGGAGAAGGGACCGCTCAACTTCTTGACTTGGGAAGACGGCAGCTGGTACTGCGGCCAGCTCACTGGAGGCGCTCTGGACGGAGTTGGAGTCTACCGATACACCGATGGCTCAGTCTACTGCGGCCAGTGGGCGCAGGATCGGCTGCACGGCTATGGGGTCTTCATCGCTCCCAACGGATTTTTGTACAGAGGGCACTTCGAGGGGGACAGGCAGAACGGACCAGGTTCGCCTCTTGCCTTTTCGCATCGGTTAGATTTGCTGGCTCGCCCGTTTCTCTCCTCAGGAGGCTGCCAGTCCGTCGAGCAAGTAGTTGGGAGCCAAACGCTTCTCGCTCTGTGCCTCTGCGCTGTTGCCTGTGCAGGTGTTTTCGTGTTCCCCCAAGGAACCACCTTCTTCGGTCACTTCCGCAATGGGCGTCTGCACGGCTTGTCGTGCTACGTGTCGCCCTCCGGAAAGTCTCGAGTGCTGCTTGGCGAGTGGCGAGATGGCGAGTTTCAGAGAACGCTTCCTCTGCAATGCCGAGATGCTGAATTCTATCGCCGAGCAGCGGAGACAGTCGACCTCCTCCAGGCCGCGTGGACTCCCCTGCCCATCCCCATGCCCGACGCGCGCACTCTTGAGTTGCCGATTAGGGAGGAGCGAACTGCAGCCTGGAGTGGAAGAGCGGAGCAGGCCTGCGGCTCCGCCGTGCTCGAGGCGCTGCGAACAGAGCTCCCAAGCAGCCTGCTGCAAATCGCGGCAGAAGCTGCAGCCGAAGACGCCGTGCAGGCTCCACTTCGCCAAGCGGAAAGGCGCTCCAGCGGCAGCCCAGCAGCAGGCGCATCCAAGCCCCCTGTGCGGAAGCGCAAAGCCAGCGTCTCGAGGCTCCAGTGCACACAAGCCGGAGAACCAACTGCCCGCTGCAGGGCTAATAAGGCTGCAAACGCGGAGGCCAGCGGCTCCAGCGGAGGAGCCTCGGCCCCCCCCCAACGCGCCACAACCACCAAGGCTCAACTGCTGCGTTGGGAAAGCGAGGCTCGAAAGCTGCCGCGAATTCCCCACTTGAACTACAACCGCGTCCTCGGCCGCTGGTATGCACGCGTTCGTGATCCAGCAAGCGGTCGCCGCATTTGGAAGGGTTACACTTGCGCAGTTCACGGCTTCTTTCAGGCCAGAGATATGGCGATCGACCGCCTGCGACAGTTCAGCCAGCTCGTTTCGTCTCAGGCGAATGAGGAGCTGGACGCCAGCGAGCCTGCGGAAGACTTGCACCTCTCAGCGGCCTGCGCCACAGAGGTCGAACAGCTCGTGATCCAGCTGCGTGGTGGGGAAGACGAACGCAGTGCGGAGCCTCCCAAAGCGGAAGTAGCTCCAAACGAGTGCAGCAGCAGCATTGCTGGCACCCTCTCATCAGAAGAAACGCACGTGTCAGAAGGAGCTCCTCCTGCGCGGCTGATCGTGGAGGGGGATGCCTCTGCATGCGCTCCGGACGCTCCGGCTGCCGTCGATCCAAGGGCCTCCGCAGAAGGCTCTGCAGGGCCTAAGGTGCTCTCGGAGAAAGCAGAATCAGCCTGTGGAGCCGCGAATACGCTGCTTGCTGCCGGGTTGTCAGTGGGCGAAAAAACTGCGGTGCAGACTCAGCGGAAGACCACATCCTCTGGCAATGCCGAGGTCGCACCCACAGCGACCCCGCACAGCGTCATTCCCTTGTCTTGGGAAAATAGCTTGAAAGAACACTTGTGCGCCGCTGGCAGCACTGCTGAGCTGTCCTTTTCGTCAGACTGCCTAGGAGCCACCTACTTCAAGCCGAATACGGCGAGGGCGCAGGATGAGGAGAGCCTTTCATGCAGTCGTTTGACAACGGCGGACTGTAGTGACACAGCACTGAGTCGCTGCATCCCTTCTTAGGGCGGCACGGCCGGGGTCGTGTGCGCAAGGGCAGCGCCTTTTCCTGGCCACGTCAACCAGCCCTGGTGAGCCCGCTTGGCTTCAGCTCGCCGGCTGCGAGGGATGGAACTGCCAGGATTCGTCGAGTCGAGGCAGTCTAGCCTTATCTGGCACTTTTTGCCGAGAATCTGCCGGCGATTCGTGTTCTAATCTATAGCTTTCACCCTGCTTGGCGAAAAGGAAACTAAATTTGGAGCTGCTTCCCTTGGCCCCTTTCGTAGCATGTGCTCCCCTCCTACCCTTCAGGCTGAAGCAGCTCTTCATGTGCCGCGGGGGAGCATCCTGCCTTTTGCCGTTCTTTGTATCGTCGCCGCTGATCTGAATATATCTGTAATTCCCACTAGTTCGCTCTAGTTTGCTCCCTGGTGGGGTCAGCCCACCCCGCCATACGTACAGTCGCAGTTTTTAACGCAGTGCGCATCGCCTGACGGCGCGCATTCGTGCTGCTCATTCCGAGTGATTAGCCGATTGCCGTCACCCTCCAATGATTCGTTCGCTGCCGACGTCACTTTCCTATTTGAAGATATTGTTATTGTTGTATTGAAGCATGGCTCCATCTAGCCAAATGCCACTTTGGACGAAAATCTTGCACTCCGAGCTCGCTGCTGCCAGGCGCTTTAGGGAATAGATGTATCCGGGGGTCGGGCGCAGTTTCGCAGCAAGCTGGAAAATTAAGACCCTCGGCTATGGTATTTCCTCCAGTCGTTCATGAGTGCGGCTCTCTGACTTCTCTTTGAGAAATCGCCTTCACTTTGGATCACCTTGGAGTCTCCTTGCTTGCATAGAAGTGGCTTGACAGGGCTCGCACTTGCGCCTCCCCAAAAGCCTTGTCAGGGGAGCACCGGCATAGAAGTGCCATACATTCGCTAAGCCAGCAAATGCTTGGCTAAAGGGTGATATTGGGGAAATAAGACCCTGTGGGTGTGCGGGACCTTCGATCAAGCGGCTGTATCTGAAGAGCGCTGGCTTAAAGTGCCAGTGGCAAATGCTGAGGGTTTCCAATCGCTACAGCGCGGGGACTAGAGCATGCCTGCTTCCGGGCGAAGGCGCTCCTCTTGCGTCCGCACATGTGACAGCAGGTTTTCTCCGTCATCGGCCAATTTTTAGAGCAGCGTAGTTGTTCGTTACGGGAGATTAAAGGAGCCAGTGGATGAAAATAATGCCGACACGGAAGTGCGCTGGTGGCGAGGTAGATACATAAAAGCCCTGGATATCAAAAGGGCGGCAAAGTCACTGCCACTAGGCTCATAAAAGCTAATTGAACAGAGTTACATGTTTGTGCTATTGATTGGTCTTAGACAGTTCTGCTACCCTTAAATCTGACCTGCCACTAAAAGCTTTCAGATTCTAACACGCCCGCCAAACTGCCTTGATTTGCCAGAGGAACAGCTCACGTAGTGCTGCTACTGATCGTAATCCGAGCAGCTCACGTAGTGCTGCTACTGATCGTAATCCTGCTACCGGGAGAGACCTTTTGCAAGAAAGCATTGGCCATGTGGCTTTATACCATTCCGTAGTTCAGTGCTGCAAAACGGCTTTTGAGACAGCCCCCAGCAGTCACGACAGTGAAAGACTCAATTGCAAGCGCTAAAAACGACTATTCGGCATACATGCCGTTTACCTGAAAGCTGTAACCAGTGCCACATCCTAGCCTACACCCTCAATAGGGTAACCTGACATGAAGGAAGCTCCTTGATTTTATTCTGCTGTTGGTGCTACTGCTGAAAACGGCACAACGTATGCTAGCCAGCAGTTAATAAAGCAATCAAAGCAGCAGTTCATGGTGGCTCATTGCCACTCACCCTAAGCCTTTCCACACGGCCCAGTAGCAAATAGTTATTGCATCCTGACTATTACCTTTAGTATCCCCAGCTCTCTCAGTGCTCTAAAATGTTCTTCCCATGTGCATGCCCTGCTAGCAGCCGCATTCTGCCGGTCCTTTTGTTTCTACCACCCATGACTCAGACACGCTGCACCTCTACTTGTCTTCCTCTTTCGCTGGCTGTGTACCAATGCCAAGGAAGCTCTGCGAGCCCTGGTGAGCGATTCTCTCCTGAGTCATGTGCACAAGCGGCCCTGAGAACTGGGCGCGCGGTGTAGTTGCTCCCGAGCTATCAGCAGGACCTGTTTTCTTTATTGAGTGTATGACGAGAACCGGAGGAGGCACGAGCATCCAGGGATTCCTCTTGATCATCACCATATGCGCGAAAAACATATCTGAAACGCACAGTGTGCATGACGGGGGGACTTTCTGCAAAGGCTCACTCATGTATGAGCGCTGAAGCCTGCTGCGCTTCCTGCTGGTGCTGAGCTCACCTTCGACCCACTCGCCAAGGCTGTTTCCTAAGAGGGGTATCAACAGCCCCAAAGCCAAAAGCAGCAACGCAGCAGCGCTTTTCTGCCGCTGTTGCTGATCTCTACTAGATTGTGGTTCCTGGCTGCGGGCCTGCAAAAAGGAATCCCCGACCTTTAAAGCTGCGTCGGTTTCGCTGTGAAAGCCCACATTTCGAGCAGCGCCAACAATAGGCGCTTCTGTCGCCTGGAGAACGCCAGACAGATGTGCCTCTTGATTTGGCTTCCAATGCTGCCGACTCTCTTGAAGCATCACAGCACCACCTTCGGTCTGCTGGTGGTGCAAGAGCTTACGGGCCAGAGGGGCGCCTGTCGGCGGCTGTGGCTTTTCAGCGGTGAGAGAATCGACCTCCGCGTGCTGCAAAAGCGGCTGCTGAGAAGGCAGTAACAAGTGTGAAAGGCTCTCGAACGCACCCTGGCCTCTGCTGCTGACAGGTGGTGATCCTGAATCCGCAGCTAATGCAAAAAGCAGCAGCGACAGCCCGACACAGAAGCATCCCAAAGCTGCCAGGAGAAAGGGACCTCTGATCCACAAGGCAACCAGCCACGCCCCCTTTGCAGATGCTGATTCCTGCCGGGGAGAGGCTGAAGGCTCTTCGCCGGGTGCTTCAGCCTTTACTGCTGTTCCTGATAAGGCTGTTACAGGAGGCGCGAGAGTTCTCCTTTGCTGTGTCATAGCTACGCCGAGTCTACGAGGAGAAAGCTCACTCGCAACGAGCTCAGAAAGCAGGGCAGGCGAGGCTTGGCTCAGGGGGTCTCGCGGAGATACAGACAGTGGCCTTCCCATGACGGCATCGTTTGCTAAGGCATCAAGGCTGTGCAAAGCGGGGTTTGGCGGGCAGAAGAGGTGATAACCTCCTCGGCAGACGGCAAGGAGTATCCTAAGGAAATGCCACAGCAGCAGGATTCCAGCCAGCAAGGCTGCGAGCATCAAGGGGGCCAGCCAGTAAAGGTAACTGTTACCCACGAAGCGAAAAAAGCCTTGCGGCAGCGAACCGGCAGCCAGAGCGGCGAGCAGCTTTTGTGTGCCCACGAGAAAGAGCAGCACCAGTGCCACGCAGACAGTCCAACCGCTACCGAAGGCAATAGGCTGAACCACAATGTGCACCAGTACAACACAGCAGGAGGCTATTGCCGAGGCCAAACTGAGGGGCGACATCCGGAAGCCCACGCATTTTAGCAGCGCCGCAGCAACTGCGCATGCCAGAGATGAATACAAGAGAGACTGAAGGTGCGATCCTACGAAGAGCAGTGCGTTGCCCACGCGCGCTCTGCAGCTCGTCTGAAATAGAGCAACAAATACACAAGCATCATGCACGGGCACCCCATATTAACGCTTGCTCCCCTCTTCTGAAAGCCACCATAGTGCATATGTATGGGTAAATCGTGGATAAAAGCCAAACTCGTTGAAAACCTTAAAGCGTCAGCATGCCCAGCGGTCTAGCTTCCTCGTCATCCCTTGCCCCCTATCTGTGTGGCTCTGGGAGCGCCTGGCGACTTGCAAGCCCCGAGGAGGTATAGCTTACGACCAACGCCACGATAAAGGCTCCAATGGAAATCAAGAAGCAAGCAGAAGAGAACGTCGTAAGCAGCAAGCATCCAGCCAGCCTGCGGCGCTGTCCATCCTCTGGTACATCTAGCCAAGGAGATGATATGAAACAAAAGGAAGCGGCAGCCAGCTGCGCTGAGAGGACAAAGCTGCTTAAGTACCTCACCGCCTTCCGTGTAGTCCTTAGCTCCCAGTACTTGAGCTCCAGGCTATGCAAAGCATCATATTCATTGCAAGCAGAGGTGCAAGGCTGAGCCCCTCCGCTCTTAAGAAGGGATGTCGAGTCTTCCATTCCCTACTCCCCAGCGCGTAAGATTCCTGCTGTAGGTACTCTCTTCCGGGGCGACCATGTCGCACAACTTCCAGCATCTGCCTTTACCGCGAAGAAAAGAACCAGAAAATTGGACTGCTTCCTAAGGCAGAAGTTAAATTTGGGGGATTGCGCGAATGTCTGCTGTGAAATCCGCCACGCAGACGTATTGGTCTCACAATGGAATCTGCAAAGTTGGCCCCTAATTTCGGTGCCGGATGAGCCCCACACCACTCCTAGCCAAGGCTATGCGTTAATAAAACGCTCTGAGAGTAATTGTGTACACACGTTATGGCGACCATTGGACGAAGGGACAGGGCCTCTAGGAGACCCTGTCCTTCACTGAGTCTGAACTGTGCAGTGTCACCTCGATCTTCTTCATAATGTCCATCTAAACCTTTTCATTTCTTACCCCGAGGAAACTGAGCAAGCAAGACTGGGTTCCTTGGCAGCTGCAGCGGCCCTGACGCGGAAGCGGGCGTCCTCGCGTGTGGAGGGCTGCTGTCTGGGGTATCTATGGTCTGAAGCTCGAAATCTTTGTCGGCCTACCATTGCAAACGCAGGCGGTAGATTGCTATCATGCTTTACATTTAAAAGCTATTCTAAGGAGATTCAAAGTCTCCCGTATTTTCCCATCACATCCGTCCCAGTGTGTGGCCAGTGGTCCCTTCATGCGCTGTTCCTTCACCGAAACTGTGTCCCCCTTCCCAGCTCGCTTTGTTAATGTTGCATCGCCCACCCATATTAGTTATTTTGCTAGATTTATCATATTAGTTGTCAGCTCGAGCCCCTGCGCAATTTTCCTCTCGTGTTTCTTTCCCTTTGTTGCGTGGACAGGAAGTAACCGCCGAGGCCTTTGCGGCAAAGGACACGGCCTCCAGCGATACCTCTGACCTAGACTGTATGCCTCTAAAATGGTTTTTCTTGAATTTTTCCATACGCCTGTAGATTGAATGCAAGATCGAGTGCTCTGCCTTCTTGGTGCGTCCAAGAACTATGATTACGGACAGACTTCTTTCGACTGTGTCAAAAAGTACCTCTCTTCTGAAAGGTCAGTATTTCTCCCAGACTACCTTCGTGCTACAGTCTATTGGCTTATGCTTATGTCCTCAGCTAGTCAATTTATCCAAGACACTGCTCCTAAACGGTGTCCACTAAGTTCAGCGCATGTACAGTGAGGAAAGGAAATTATGGTATCGCGCGTACACACTTGCAGCCCCATGACTTGCCTTTACCTAAATAACACATCCTTACCGATTGCATGCTTTGGTTACCCGTACATGCTTTCGCAGTGCTCTGGTAGATCCATACTGTTACAATGAATGCTGCGGGAGTGCGCCCAGTCGCGTTCGATTCAGGATTAGCAAGGAATCAACTCTTTGAATTGTCAGCCTATATATATATAAAATATTTTGCAGAGTAATGTTAGGTTGTATCGGAACATGCTACACTTGAGCACTTTATATTCCAGTAGATATATATGCAGTCAAAAATTTCAAAGGGCTGACTAGTTGGTATGGTTGCTCGTATATCATGCTTATTGCACGGAAGCCTCGGCTCAATACTGGAGGAATCGATTTCATGTGTGCTGCTTCCTGCCTGCAACTAGCTGTGATTGCTCGGAATGCTTAGAGGGTGCAGAGAAGCACATCATCGATGCGCCTCCCCCGGCACGTCGGACACTGAGAGGCGCATGCCGGAAAAGCAGGACGCTCTTTTGGACAGCATTTAATTCCCACTGCATTTTGCTAAACTCCTAGGTTAAAGGTATTTTATGTGGAGACCTTTGATGGAAAGCTACAGTGTGCGACTGTATGCATTGTTCCGAGCGATCTGAAGGTGCAGCCATGTGTAGAACAGACATCTCTCACCCCCGTAGGATGTCCTTGAGGCTGCTGGTAATGGCGTAACTTACATAGCACTACTTCTACGTGCTTTTCTAACCCATGATGCCAAAATATTCAGCTTGTCAAAGCGCAGTCTCATAAAATCAATAACATGGTTGGAATTCACTGCTGTACAGCTTTCCGTTTCCAGCGGCTGGCGAAGTCGAGCTTCAATAGCTGAACAGAGAATGCAACAGAGCAGAAGAAGAGCCTTTGTTGTCCCGTAACTACTTGTTTCCCTGATATCCCACTTTTCTGAGTTCCCAAAAGCAAGGCATGGAGAGTTGCACTAGTAATGCCTTCAGCGGCGGAGGCCTACAAATTTGTGCGACCTAACAGTTGTTCATGTGAATATAGAGCTTTAGCGCAACCCAAAAGCCTCCTAGCTTTGCTGGGCGTACCAGCTGCTTCCTGAAGTAGGGCATATCCTCACTAGACGCCACAGGATTGCAACCCTCCGCCATCTGTGTTGCAATCATGCAAGTGAGAACTCCAGTGTCTCTCCCGTCAAACTGCCCGACGATGGAAGGCTGAGAGAGGCACACAAGTCACCGCTCATGTAAATCAACATTCTTTAGCTAACATCCAAGACAGTGATGCTGTTTGCGTCTCCTATTAGAGGACATGTTTACGACTGGACAGAGCAAGTCAACGGTTGGCGCACCTCTGGTACGAAGTTGGAACGGTGAAGGCTGAAAAATCTGAGACCTGAATTTCAGCAACGTCGTGAAAGGACAGTCCAAGTGCTATATATTCATCAGTGCCTCCTGAATTTTTGCGGGAATGACTCACACCTACGGCTCGATACGCATGTGCAGCTGCCCGAAGGCCTGTATTCCAGCAACTCACCGTGCTCCTGTATATAGGCTCTTAGCACCGACAGGGTATTTTGGATCGGTATAGCTCCAGATGATTGAGAAGGATCGTACCATCGTACCAGAAAAAGGGCTGCACGTGGCCCCTTGCTGCAAAGCAGAGCATTCCAGTCGAATTATCCAAGCAACAAACAGCGCTGCAACTTTCGCGGACCGATTCGTGATGAAAATTAGTTACACACATCAATTTAAGGATAGCTGAATTTTCGAGAGAAGCGGATGCATTTGCTAGTAGGTGTGTTTCTTTACATGATATCAACTACGATAGTTGCATAGTGCGTCGGTCCCAACGTGACGGGCAAAATGACCACCTGGGACTTCAGAACGTTTTGTCGCTCGAGTTCCTCCTACACCAAAATGCCATTGGGAGAGAGCGAGGCAGGGCCGAATATAGCAGCGAGAGCAAAGAAAGCACAACGCCCAGAGAACTTATCATAAAGCAGCAGCAGCAAAGACTGCCACTCGACTGCCGCCAGTGCCAGACTTGCACTGAAGAGACTGCAGTAGCTAGGGACGTCCTTCGCTAGGCAGACGTAAAGTGCTCTTGGACGATCCTAGTATTGCAAGCACATCGCACTGTGTGGGCCCAATGTCCGAATAGTACTCTCACCAGAAGAATTCCAGTGTCTTCCGAGGACATACTGGGGGACAGCAGCTTGGAGGATATCTCAACGCTGAGACTGGTCAGTTTGGGCCTTTTGCGCCTGGTGGATTGCCAAACGCAATGACAATTACGACAGAAATGTGCTCGGTAGCCAGTGTCCCTCCCTGTGCTGGTCCAGGCTAGGCCCAGAGAAAAACATAGAAGCCTTCCACTTGGAAAATAACCCAGTCTAGCGACCTACCTGCGAGTGTGCAACGGCGTTTTGTTGACCTGCAGGACCCAGTACATCAAGGCACGCAGCCAGTACTCGTAGCACAATGGTCCCTGTAATGCTATTAGCATCTAAGGGGCCCTAAAATCAGTCCTTTCTTGTCGAAGTCTACATCTGTTCCTGTTACTGCAGGAATTGCAGTAGCAAATTCAAAGGACAAGCCCAGCCGATGCTGCTTTGCATGCCTTTGGGGGAGATCCTAGGAAAGCAAGTTACCTCTAGAGCCCGGAGATAGACATTTATGAGGTTGGGAGTCAGCCCTTCAGCGCGTAAAAGGACCTGCTGTTCCTGCCTGGGATCCATAGGACACCACGTCACAATTCGAACGAGGAATTTTGCAAAAGAGAGTTTTTGAGGACATCTTTCATGACCAGAAGCACCTATTTCTCCAAAGCTGCGCCTGGCTTGGTGCGAAGCTCACAAGCAGAAGGCAGCCTGAAAAGACTTAGAGAATATTGCGACATTCTCTGAATCCCTGCATATATAATTAATCTATGTTGTTACACCAGACTACCAGAACCATTTGGAAGTCTAGGAGCTCAGCACTTTATATCTGTAGCTTCGCCCTTACGAGCTGACAAGCATCCCTTCGATCGTGAAGGGCGCGTAGTTCGCCTCTTGCCAACGGTCGACAACATGGGACATCAGCTCTTCCTCTGCAAAGACACAAAAGCTAGCTTAGTGTCCCTGTGGCAGCTGCTGCTGCGTAGAGAAATAGGGCTCGGTATCAAGGAGGGAGTGGCTCTGTTTCGTTGCTCTCGTGAGCATGATTTCACGAGCTGAGAGAGAAGCGGGTCACGTTGGCAACTTACCGGCGTTAGTTATGGACCTTCTTGTATCGCTGCATTCATCGTAGCGCCTGTTGATCTTCAACACCTGAGGGCAGCCAAAGCAGAATCAAAGCTTTGTTTCGTTCCTGCACCTCCAATATGTTAAAACCTGTCTCTCCACAACAGATGTAAGCCTGCTGAAACCGTCGTGTGCTTGCTCACTGCATTCACTAGAACAGAAAATGGCAAGGATGAGGCTTCCAAATCGCTAGGAGAGATAGCGCCTCTTTCCAATTTAGCGGCAGCTTCCTCTTTCTCGGCTTGCTCGTCGCTTAGAGGGCTGTCGCTCCAGGCACTTTCTTCTGAGTCGCTGAGATCTCCATACTGTGCGTCCTGAAGGTCGTCACCGCTGTCTGCACCACCCCATGCACCGGGCTGCGTCTCTTGTGCAGCGCCTGCTCCATCCGGACTGCCGAGCGTTGCTACTCCGGAGGGCCCGGAGTCAAGTGGTGTTTCGGGCTGAAGAACGCCTCCCGAAGCACCTCCATCTCCTGTTGCAACGTGCCCCTGCGGCTGTGAGTCCTCTAGGGAGTCTTCGCCCCCGTTTGCCCCAGCAGCTTCAGTGGGTGGCAGCTGCTGATTCTGAGGTTCCTCCAAGGGGTCTTCGCGTATATTAGAAGGGTTGTATTCTAGGGTCTGCAGCCCTTTGTCCGATTGTTTTGGCTCTGGGTGCCAAAGAGAGGCTTCTTGTTTCGTGGTGGGCTGTCCTATTACCCACCAAACAGAGTTTAGGCCTTCAGGCGCCCTGAATAGCATTTACCGCATACACATAAGCCACTTTTCTCAATCATAAATCGATAACACAGAGTATCCCGAGGACACAGACCTAACAGTCTCCCCTAGCTTGTCGCTGGCAAGGGAGCATCCCCTGTAAACTCAGAGGGGCCTCCTGAGAATCTGGTATACCCATGCCTCCAAAACTTACGGTGACTCTGTCGGCGAGGCTGAAAGAGGCCTCTGGTAACGTGGCGACGGAAAGGGGCCTGTGTGGTCCTCTTCCTCCTTAAAGGCCCCAGGCAGCTGACCCTCTCTCCCTGCGCAGACGCAAGCCGCCCCGTACCCAGCAGGCGCTTTCAGGTGCCTTGCACAGGAGCGCATGAAGAGGCAGAAGTCCTGAGACGGAGAAGGAGAGAGTGCCAGACACAGAGAGGAAGAGGAGGCAAGCCGTTATTCCATGCCACACCCTCACCAGTGCAGCGGGCGGGGCCAGGTAGCAGCGCAAGGAAGGCTGTGACACCCAACAGGCGTCTCTGCATGTTGGATGCGCCTTTGATTCCGCTGCTGCTTGTGTTACAGGGGCTTCACGCTTTTTTCTGGTGTGCCTCGAGGCCTTGGAAGGTCATTATAGAGTCAGCCCAGAGCTTCCCTTTCCAAACGTTCCGCCTAAACTGGTAAAGCCAATATATTAGAGCGCTGAGAAGGAGAGGATTAGGGGAAGCAGCATCCAAGAGGACATCTGCTTGACAACTTATGCGGTAGTGGTAATGCGCGGCCAGCAGGGACTCGGCCTACAACAGGCCTGCATGTGTTCACCTTCCGAGTTGCTCTTCAGTCCGCAAACACTTGCCTCATGAATTAGGTAAATATTCATATAAAGCCAATAGAAGGGACAAAAACCCCCGAGGCCTCGGCCCCATGATCTGTGGCGGTGCGATCACGGAGGCCGTGGTTCACCTCCATTCAACCCTAGGCCCTCACGTTAAAAGGGCAGCATATGACTCTCTTGACCTCTAAACCCTATATTTTATTTTGTGCTGCATCTTCTGGACCTTTGTTTCAGGCAGGAAACAGTGAATTCATAGACCACACAGCCTGCAACCCGTATGGACCAGCTCAATGAAGGGGACACTGACAGCTGTATCGGTGTGTAAATGAAACAGAGGCTGGAGTCTATATAAGTGCCTTGTCTCAAGTCCTTGGTGAAGCATCCATGGGAGAGGATCACCTTTCCTCTAGAGCCTACCTAAAAAGGCCGGCGTTACGGAAGGCGCCGGCCGAACCTAGCGATTGTGACAACCCTTCCCTAAAGGGCCCGCTGATACGTTCCCTTAATGCCAGTAATTTTAGAAATTCGAATCAAATTAAATAGCTGTGTAACAGGCTCAGGTTATACGCGGGTACTTCCCTCCGGCAGTTCAACATTCTACGCGTAAAGCTCTTCGACCGTCCGACAGTATCGTCATACGCGCAGATCTATGTGCCTTTCAGAAACCACACGTGCACTTTAAGGTCTTTCCGGGCGCTGACTTGATAGCTGTCTAGCGTCTTAAAGGACTCGTGCGATTTCTGCTAAGGATGGTCCCCCATGGATCCCAGCAGCTGACGTGAAGGGGACATAAGAGACCTCTCTTGAAAACACCAAAGACATTGCATGATATCGGCGCCTGCACATTGACCAAGTGTCTCGGCATATACCCCTTTAGTTGTCCAAGGGCACAGAACAATCTAAGGCAGTACCGCATGCGGGGGTGGTGGCACAAGGATCTTCGCGGAAGGAGCCAGGATTGAAACAGGGGACTTAGCGACAGGCGAGGTGTATGTGCTGATGACTGCCGCTGGGTGGCTGCACGGGGAGTGTCTTCTTGTTTCACATGTTGCCTTGTCTCTTTTTCTCTGCTTTCGCTTCCTCCTGCATGCTTCTATCCTGTGGCCGAACACTCGGTAAAACATTACCGTGGTGGCGAAGATACACAACACAGATTGTGTTGCGGATATAACAGCGAAGCAGGCGACTCCAACTTCCATTCCTAATGCTATTCCCCACTGTTCGATGTCTACTAGTTTCTTTAGAAGCTTTACAATGAAGGAATCTGAGTGAGGCCGAGTGCTGTAGTTTATCGCATACACCTCTTGTGCCGCTACCCATGCTACTGTGGCAACAAAAGCGGAAGCCAAAAATAGCATCGTCAAGATCATGTTGTTCCAGCGCTCAAGGCACCCAAAGTTCAGACAAATGAGACATGCGCAGGACAGCAAAACTGCAGGGACACCAAATACCGGAGGAGCCATCCCCCCCAGCGCTGCTTGAATCTGTAGAAAACTTGCTGCCCAAGATGCAATCAACGCTGCACTGGTCCTGAAAGAAGGCAGCACGCACATGACCCATACAAGCGTGCATGCATACATACGAAGATAAATATATAGAATCCGCTAGTGGTAAGCCGCAAAGTCAAGCAATAATTCGATTTAGAAAAGCATCTGGACTAGTAAAGCGATGACATGATTTCAGCTGGCTTCCCACTAACAGCTGCATAGCGAGTAAGCCTCAAATCGTACTCTTCGAGTTGTAGGCTCCACATCTTGAGCCCTAACGATCCTACGCCGTCTGCCTCAAGCTGTAACGCGTTATCCGGATTCTAACAAAGCCTAGCGGTGGCTTGAGACGTAAAATATACAGTCAGTGTGCGTGCGGCGCTGTGCTGTCAGGTGCAGTGGCTCACGTCATCGCTCCTGTTGCGGTATCATGGCAAGTGGCCCTGGAAGCCCTAGCGGCGGCGGCAGCGGCCGCTGCAGTCATTCCTCCTGTCGCTCTGAGTATAACTTCGTGTGTCTTTGCAAATAACAGTGTTCCATAGTTGAAGGGCTCTAAAAATTGGTCAACGGCTGCATTGTCTATGGATGACTGAGAGACAGAGTACCCGGAGAGCCACATGCAGCATGTCAGGGCCGTCCCCAGAGAAATTAAGGACTGAACGATGCTCAAGGCCCTAAGGACCCTTGCCCACTTGCAACACCCCAGGAGAACAGCCATGATCGCTGAAGCCACTGCCAAAACCACAAAGATGATCAAAGACCATGCCCAGGCATACGCAAGGCACCATGCATATGTCCTGGGGTCCCTGGTTTTGAAGCTTGCACGGATTAAAGGCAACTCCGGGTCTAGAAGGCTGGGGGTCAAACCGTGGAGGCGTTGCCCGTTTGTTGCAGCAGCAAGCAAGAGGAGCGCAGCTCCTAGCTGCAAACCAATGGAGGCAGAGACAAGGCCTAAGGGGGGCAGACATGGCAGCAGCCGGCAGGACCACTGCTTGTTTGAGCTTTCCGTAGATAGCTCAGAATCCACGGAGTACAGAGGCTCAGCAACCGAGAAGGCACCGGGGTCCAGCACCTCGTCGGGGTCTGCATAGGTAAATTCAACGTCACCCCGCCATGCCTCAGCAGCGGGGGTTATCATTTCCTAACGGCCTGCAGGACTGAAAGGCGCCCTGCATACCCCCCAAAGTCGTAGAACCCGTTTCGTGTGCGCTTGCTCTAAGAACACAATCAAGGTACTGAGGCGACAGAGATATCTGAATGGTGTTAAAAAGGCTCCAGCAGAGACAGGGCCCCTTAATGCACTGACTCTTGTTTTTACAAGCCTCTTGCTTTATGCGTGTTCGGCAAAGACAGTCCTGCATATGGGCACCTGTACACCTAATTGCTACGCAGCCTTGTTCGAGATTTATGGAAAAAACTTAAGTCTGAGGTATATTGGGACCAGCTAAACTGTACGACCCGCGAAGGGGATAGAGAAGCGCCGTCTCCTCTACACAGTCATCTCCTGTCCCAGATACATGAAGCAAGACACTCGGAAATGTGCAGTGTGCCTTACGGTGTGAATAAAATCGCGAATCCATTGTAGCTTTACACGGTGGGTACCTCATTTTACAAATGCAAAAGAAAGAGCTGAGGCTAGCCACACGTTCTTGTTTGGCAGAGTGACCTCGCTGGGGCTGCATGAGCTGCTGCTGGTGGAGCATTCGAATAAGATTTGGATTGTCAGACGACCCAGTATAAGAAAATTATTTTATTGACTTGATAAACATTACTTACCACAATATAGAGCCTAAGGTCTCTTTTGCAAGGGGGACGCTGGGTGCAAAGACTCGAAAAGTCTGAATTTTTATGCATTCACAACACTCTCAGTGTGTCTCTCCACAGGAAACCTTGTGTCTTCCCCTGCTCCGCTAATGGGCGCGAAAATAGGGACAATACTGTATTTTGAGGTGAAGTCATAGCATTTACATGCACCCTCAATTTTCAAGTAGCAAGATTTCTCCTTCTAGGCGCGCATCCCAAGAGACCATCCAGGAATTCGCCATGGCGGACAAACCTGGGGACGGAGCCATATTGCTCCTCTTTCCAGAGATTATTAGGCGGAAGAAGGTACACATAGCGAAAGTATTTATATCAGACATTCAGTTTACACTTTTACCTAAATTTTCATCCTCGTTCTTGCCTACCATAGACAACAACCTCTCGTTCTGCATTTGGTATCGACAGAAAAGTTTTCCTCACGTTTAGATACCCATACGAACAACATCGTAAAGCTTTTCTTCGGTAACACCACCACAGAGTCTAAAGCTTCACAGTGCATGTCCTAGTAATAGGCCCCCTCGCTTGCCAATAGGCAGGCTACGGTCCTCGAGAACGATTCAGAGCATGCTACAATCCAATTCTGCCTGCCTAAGCCCTGAAATTTGACTCAACATCTGGTCTTGTTCTTCAGGCTACAGTTGTGGAGGAGCTATTGCTGGACACGTGCTACGATATTATACGAACCAAAACATTTGCCTTTACTGAGGTAGTATAATATGCCTTTGACTGGGCTATCTCACGAACTCTTTCGCCAAAGTCTTCGGCTAATGACCAAAGAGCTAGGGTGCTGCATATTCTCCAGCGCATGTATCTCGCCCTTCTACGGGAAGAGACGGCAGGTCCTTTTTATTGCCATTAGCTTGTTAAATGGTCTTGCTGGGACTCACTCAGAACGAAGCAGAAGAGGCATTGCGGGAAACACCACGGGGATGGAACCGCGAAGCCCTCCTGGTGGAGCTTACGCGGGGACTCTGCTCCGTCTTGCTAGTGCAGCATCCCCTAGGAAAGACCCGCAAACGCCTAGCAGATTCCCTTGCAGCAGCAACAACTGCAGCAGAAGCAGTAACCACCGGAGAGGAAGATGAAACGGGCTTGGTTGAGGCGTAAAAATATAGTTCTAGTTCCCTAGCTAAATTTTTCCACAGCGGTGGCTGCGTCTGTAATGGTTTCGTTTTGCATTTCCCAACACGCAGTCTGGCTAGAGGAGACTAGGAGCATGCCAAACTGACAAACATACAGATGGATTCATGCATAAGCTGACAACACGAAAAGGTTTTGGCCTACATAGTGGTCTGTGAGCCTTAGAGTGCTGCCCGCAGGTTCCGGAACGCATTCTGCATTGAAGCGGCAGGTCCCCAACAATTTTACTTCAGCACCTGCCGATGGACCTTTGAAAGGGATGTCCTCTTCTTTTACCCATCCGGTTAGTCGGTAACCTAGTTCACTTGATGTGCCACAGCTGGCACAGCAACTGCTGCTTCATTTCTTTCGGTGTCGGCACTGTCACACCCGACCAACTGTGGAAAAAGAAAGTGACAGAAGCCTCGCTCTCTACTGTACACCTCCACCTGCAGCTGCTGTTGGCTGCTTCTGGTGTGGTTGCTGTCGCTGCAGTGGCCTCATCGCAGGTTGAACGCTCTGTCTTGCTGGTGAAGCCGGACGTAACAGCTGCCGCAGCTGCAGCAGCAGCACGAGGAGAGGCTTGCCCTGAAAGGGCGATTGATGTGCTAGTGCTGGAAGATGGGCTCATCATTTTAGCCTCTGTCGAGTTTCGTCTCGGCCAACATGATGTTGCAAAGCTCTTCCCCGACATTGTCAACAAGGTACGCATGCGTGAAGGCGCCTTTGGTCAGCCACAAATGTTTTAAGATGACCACTAGTTGGAAGTGCTAGATCCTTCCGCTTCTCCACATTGCCTGATTTTTGAACATCTCTATGGCAAACGCTATGTTTGCTGTTGCTGCTGCAAACGGCTGCTGCCAGCTGCAACAGCATGATTAAATGAGCATGCTGTTTACTTTCTTCTGGATATCTGTTTGACGGTCACAGCCAAAGTATCCGGCAATGGAGACCTACCTCTGCGAACCAACAGGTTGCAGTGCGTCTGACAGCAACCTAAGGATCAGCCGCTGCTAGATCTATAGGGCCGCTTTACTCTTCTGTACTATGCTCCCCTTGCGTAATGCCTGCAACAACAGGATTTTCAACTCCGATATGCTAGTATCAACCCTCATTGTCTGGTGCAGCATACGCTACTCTTTCCGCGGTGTCTACATCGAAAACAGTACCCCTGCACTGCGCAGCAGCACGGGCAGGTCTGACTTCCAGCTTTCTGTTCTTTGGCTCCTGTCTTCGCGTGCATGGATAGGGGCAATTGTTGTTGAAGGATGTGACGCTCTACGTCGGCTGAGGCAGCTCTGCGGGCCTCCAGATCCCTCGAGAGCAGCGATCCTTCGGCCCAACAGCCTACGAGCTCTATGTGGATCCTCACGCTTGAGGAACGGATTTGTAAGGAGGCCAAATGTCTGCTTTCTTTGAAGCACAGACCAAAGCAAGTGAATGCGCATAGAAACCCCTCCCTATGGATTAAAGGGGGACTATTTGCGGTGCTGCTGCTTTTGCTGCTGCTGCAGCACGCACCGTATACCCGAGCAGAGGCTTCTCGCTTCATGGAAATACTCTTCGGCAGTCCACCCCATCCGCGGCCATTGCTTCGTGTTCAGTGCACATGTGCAATCTTTTTAACAAAAGAGCTTCGCCATGTGGGTCAACACAAGCAGCTAGATCAGCAAAAGGAAGAGCTCCGCAAGCTGTTTGGACTGAAGAGTTTCATTATTCTTTGGGAGAAGGAGCAGCGCTTGGAGAAGAAACTAATTGATATCTTGTGTCAGGTAGCGTTGACTACATTCACGTGCTGCTGGTGCTTCCGAGTTTTCTGGCGGTTTTACTGCTGTTTGTAGTAGCCACATAGACGGCCCCCCTGCCTGCACATCTCTCAGGAGTGGCAAGACCGGCCCGACTACAGTGCCATTGTCTCTTCCCTCAAAGGACAGGATGCGTGGGTTTTGTTGTTGGGACGCACGGCAGCCCCTCGAGTCTTTACTGACATCTTAGGCCCCCAGTGCCCAGTGCCCTTCGGCGCTGCTGCAGCAGCTGCTACCACAACAGCAGCAGCCACAGCGGCAGCTGCCACTGCGGTGGCGAAAACAGTGTCTACTAGTCAAAATAACAACGGCTACTCTAGCCTTATTTCAGCTCAGTTACAAGCCGCGAAAGCCTCAGCAACAGCAGCAGCAGCAGCAGCGGCAGCAGGGATGCCCAGGCCAGGAAGCTTGTGTGGCCGGGCTCGCCGCTGCATTGGCTTTGCATCAGCAACCGAAGAAGAAGCGGCAGCGCTGGCTGCAGCGTGCTCTATGAAACCATTGCCCTTGCTCTTGCTGCCTCCTGAAGCACCCCGTGTCCTAGAGGCAGGATCTAAACCTGGAAAATTCGCCGCGTAAGCTCTCAACGGTAGAGCATTTTGCGCTGGTGTCACCCGCAGAGACTTCAAGTGCATTTGCTGTAATCATGCATTGCATCGCAGACTGGGAGAGTCGGACCAATGCACAGGAACTACCGGAAGCCTAGAAGTTCTTGTCCTTGAGTACGCGCTTTTCTTCCTCAAGGCACCCGGGTCTTACACCACTCGCCACAGCGCACCCGCGGAGCAGCAAACACCCGGTCGTGGGTGCCACAGAATACTTGCTGGTAGCATCACCTCCTTCACACTTGAAGAGCGAAGTTCCGATCGAATTGCTACCCTGCGGGTTATGCGTCTGTCTCTTGTTGCTGCAGGTCACTAAAGGCCCTCTGTAAAGAGCGACCCCGGCCTCAGGGTTTGGCGGCTATCGCGTGGATAGGCCATTGGCTGGAAGGCGCAGTTAAGCGTGAAAGGCAGCTTAAGGAAGCCATTGAAGCTTCCGCCGAGCTGGCAGCGAGTACGATCTTCGCTCAGTGTTCTGGCCTTATCTTTAGCGTCTGGGCCAACCATCTCTTCTACAGGATTTGGCAGCGAGCTCCCTGTGGTTGGGTTTACTTTGTGGAAAAAATGACAAGGCACCATTGTTGAAGAGAGAGCAAGCATTGTTACTGGTGATGGTGTCTGTACTTGGGCTTGGCTTCTAGTGTCGATACTGCTAAAGGGGAGCTTCGCATTTCAGATCGTTGACTCTGCAGGCGTGCGCCCTGGAGGGGGCGGCCACAGGGTAACGACGAAGGAGGAGCACCAGCAGCAAGGCCAGAAAATCTGCACCGCAAGCACTATTAAATGTCCCCGGGTAGTTTTACTGGTGGGCTTCCAGCAGCCCGAGCAAAAGGATCTGCAGCTACCGACGGCAAAGCTTCAGGCTCCCATTTTGTCTGCTGGTTTGTCTTGTACCGTGGAAGCTCTTCGTAGATCCTACGATCTGCACCAACGAGGCCCTGAAAAGCATTGTAATACCGTTGCTTAGCCTGATATCTGGGCAATTGCACGGGCACCTGTTCATTCCAGTGATGTGGCTGTCTATGTACAGCGGAGCTGTTGCGGGAGACCGCGATGTGCGAGGACCCTGCCACAGCCCTGCGGACTCTCCTAGCTCGAAAGCTGCCACCCCACAGCAGCAGCCGTACGAGAAACTTCAGCGGCTGTCTTTTGGTTTCTCTGGAAGAGGATTTGTGTCTTGCCGACTGGAAACTGCTCACTCAGGCTTTCACTGAGGTGCAGCCGCTGACTGTAGCTCCTTCGGGTGCGTCTCCTCCTTTTGAGACGATAACGCGCTAGCTTCACCATCAAAGGCAGGAAGCAAGTGCTTGCAGTAGCAAGAGCAGCACAATTGGAAAGCTTTCAGCGAGAGCATTAGTACACAGGAGCTTTCGAGGACTCTTTCTGGCTGTCTGATGTGTTTGCTTTGGGGGTTTGCAGGGGCCTCTTTTGGCGGCGCAGCTGCTGCCGCTGCCCATGATTCCGCGAAGGCAACAGGGAGAGTAAGGCTTCTGGCCTTATAACATCGTCTGCTCTCCCTGAGTGCTAAAGTGCAAGCCTGATGAGTCTTTCGTACATGCGGCATCTAGGGCATGGAACCGCAGTAACACGGCAGATGCCACCGACTGTAGGTTATGGGTGTAAGGGCAAATGCCGTAAATAAATATATGAATATGCGGTCACTGCGCGATCTCTGTGCAGCTGCTTACACCATTTAACATCAATGATGAGGCCAAGAGTAGCGGGATCCTGTACGATGTTGTTGCGGATGTTCTGCGGCCATCATTGGTGTTTGTCTTTTCGGATCCTGGGCTACCGCTACGGCCTTTACTGGAGTGCCTTTGTTGTTGCTTTGGACTCGCACATATTGACATGGACAAGGAAATAGCATTAGCTGCAGGTAGTGGTGGTGGTGCCAAGCGCAAACCTCTGTATGGCGCTCATCCGGCAGTTGTAGTCTGCCCAGCCCTCTTGGACAAAATTGAGGTCCTCCAAAAAGAAGGCAGGCACTGGCCCTTCTCCCTTAAAGCCAAGCCCTGAAATCTAAACCAAGCAATGAGCTAAAATTCCGAAGCCCGTAGATCTCCACGATGCCGCCTTCAGGCGGCCTGGATGCCAGAGCAGCCCACATTACTAGTGGCACCTGACTCAGACGGAAGGGCGTAGGGTGTGCTTGATAATATTGAGGCTTGAGTATTTAGAATTTTGAAGCGGCTGTTCAGGCTACCTAGGCTTCGTGGTATCAAATTTTCCGAGGAGTATCCGGCAAATTGAGTTCGTGCAGGAAAATGTAAGGGGCACCTAAAAATCAACCCACATGATCCTGTACTGTCGCTAGGTCTCTCACGAGAATTGCCTAGCAGGTGCAATAGGTTAACTGCAAGGTCTTTAGAGTATCCTGAATCTTTTACGCAAATGCATTCTTTCTCGAAAAAAGTGCTCCTGCAGGTTTAGACGATGTGCTTCCCCTGCTTTTGCTGCTGCTGTCGGCGCCGTGTCTGTGCAGCTTCAATGCCGCGTCTCGGCGTTGTTGCTGTCATGTTCGAGCGCCGTCTCGAAGCTGCTACCCTTGGGCTCTCCAAGCGGGAAACCCCTATTGGAAGTGGAGAATTGCAGAGCAACAACTGAAGAAACAGAGGCCCAGGAGACCCTAGAAAAGCTCCAGGTAGGACCAGGCAGTGTACTCATCAACTGGAACCCTTGAAAGTTCCTGGCTCGCGCAAACTCCGACGCAACCAGGCACTTGGACACGGACGAAGGGGGGCCCTGAAGGAAAGTAGCAGAACACATGTCAATTTTGAGGCTTAGTACTTCGTGCACCCATAGCGGCAATATCGCGAGTGCAGGTGCAACCACCAAACACGCAATAGAAACTGATTCGCGGGAAAAGCAAGCAAACACAGTAACAGCTGCTGTTTGACGGGTAGTTCTTCGATGGCTACCGCATATGCCTTGTATGTTGCAGAGTCGGGGCTGCCTGTACACTGCGGATTTGTCAGCGTTCCAAGTAAACTGTCTCGCTAGTCCGCCAGAGAAGCTGCAGCACGTGCTTTTGCGAGCAGCAGCAACCCAGCTGCAGGCTCGTGTGCTGCTGCTGCACGGATCTCCAGAAGCAACTGCAACTGCAGCAGCCGCTGCACAGGACGTGCTGGAGGAAACCATTGTTGCGGACGCAGAAGCACTTCTCACCCTTGAGCGCCAGCAGCAGCAGCGACAGCAGCAGCAGTTTCGTAGCAACACGTGTTACTCCTGTAGCTCTTCTGATGCGTCTTGCAATTGCCTCAGTAATGTAAGGAATACGTAGAGCCGCGGTTCCAGTAAGAGCAGTCGTAAAACCGACTGCATCTATGCTGCGCTGGTTCCTTGGCTTCGCGAACGGAGTAGCACCTCACAGCAGCCTCTGTTTGTTGTTGTACCGACTGCAACGGCGTACTCCAGGTGGCTTCCCGTGTGGCTGCTTTGGGTATAGTCTTGAGTTCTTCAAGCCTTTTCAGTTTTTCTTCGCGTGCTGTGTCAGCTCTGCTAACTGGTTTTTCTTCCAGGATGGCGCACTGCTCTCACGCGCCGTCAACAGACTGGCGTGGTTACGAAGATGCCCTATGGTGGCTCTACAAATGCCTCCAGCACTCCTCGGGCCCGCTGAGGTTAGGTCTTTTGCAGACAACTGCAGAGTCTGCGCTCTCCTCCACCTGAACTCCCATGCAGGTAAGCCCGTACCCTGATTCTGTGGCCAGAACGCTGGTGTATCCTCAGCAGTTCATGAAACCTCGAATCTGCAGAAGGGTAACGGATCAGCCATCAAGTTTAGGGGTTATCAGAGTTTGGAACGACCGCTTGTGAGCGCAGCGACAGGCCAAGTGCCCGACGACAAGGGCCCTGCGCCGCACCACGCCAAGGCCCCAAGTGCAGCTTTATTGCACTTCGCTATGGAGGTGACTAAGGGCCCTCCAGAATCTGCGTTTCCCCCCAAACCGTTTGGTCGCATGGTGACACTTTGCGTGCTATGTGCTGTCTGGGTTTGAGCCACCTGTTAAGTTGACACCGAGAAGAAGTATTTTAATGAGTGGATGCTAGGTACTCTGTGAGTTCAAGGAGGTTGGCGGCCAGTCAGCTTGTAGCGCTAGGTGAGCAACGTTTTGCCCAGCTTGCTAAAACCTTGCTTACTTTTGCAGGGCAAGGCAAAGCGTATTTCGGTTACAGGAGAGGGAGATTTGGGGCAGCTTAAGGACGAAATATCAAGGTACGCCAGTGTTTTCCTGCTTTGTCGCTGCCGTTTATTGAATGTTCAACATACCACTGCGCGCCAGCCTCGCCTGCCGTTGCGATGGTCGTTTGTCAATGGGCTTGGTGATGGACCCCTGACTCAGCGTCCTTCGTCGCGATGTAGTAGCTATGATCGCTTCCAAAGGCCTTTCAAAACCCCTTCTTGGAGAAGCAGTGGCTAAGATACTTGGGCTGAAGCTTATTCCTGACTTTGGTACGCTGTGACTTTGGGAGCAACAGCCATAAGGGCGGAAGTAGCAAAAATCGTGCTCGCAGTAGGGGCTACTTGTCGAGTGACTGCTGGGTGTGCAAAAGTTGTATACACAGGCGAAGTCACATCACTTGCTTATCTGTGCAGAGAAGTACGTCAATCAACAACAACAGGGAGCAGCGCCAGTAACAAGAGCACCAAAGGTACTCTTCAAGGGCTCGGAGCAGGCCAAGGGCAAGCCGAGAACCCCTGCCGACGTGGCTGAAGTTCTTAGAGCCCTGCAAAAGCCTCATGGCCACTCTCCATACAATGGAGTACTGCTGGTGGATGTTCTGGATAGCATCGAACGCGTAGGCTGCAGCAACCGATTTAGCAGCAACAGCAGTCGGTCCGGTAGCACTCGCGACATCTGTGGTGAGGAGCAGGGAATGAGACCTGCACACTCTTTTCACGACTTTGCCTAGGATGAAGAGCTAGCCTGTTAATGTCTGTGGATTGGACTCAGAAGCTCGAGAACTATAAGCTCCCTCTGAGCCGCATTATCATTGTGGAGGCTGCACAGGGGGTGGGTGTGGCTTAAGGTGTCTGCACATGGAATAGCCTCGCGGTCAAGCCAGTGTGATAGCCACAGCTTGTTAGGGCTCACAATAGCCAGCTAAGCGCTACCTCAAACAAGTATACACATAATTATCACAGGCAGGAGATGTGACGCCAGGAGAGGCACCTTGGACTTTGGTGGCAAGGGTTCGTAGGGCATCACTGTGAGAACTTTGCCTTCTTGCAAGGGTTGCGGCTTGCAGGTGCTTGAGGAGGAAGCAGCGCAAGACAACCGAGAGGACCGCACCGACGGAGATGAGGAGGAACTTGATTCAAGGTTGTCCACCAGAAAGAATACCAGGGGTACGGCTTAGTGTTTGTTTCTGCGTGCGCTGAGACAGCGTCTACAGATAAGTGGCATTACGCTCACTGAGATGCAGATGTAGCTATAATGCAAGAGAACTTCGGAAAACACGGCATCCCTGAAACGGTTAGAATGGGGGAAAGGCTCATTGGGGGAGAGCGCGGGCAACACTAAAGAAACAGTGGTAATGGCACAGAAACTACGACAGACAGTCAGATCGAGACGGAGGGGAGCATCAGGGGAAGAGCCAGACGCGTCTACAGTACAGAGAGGCTGTAAAGGGTGAATGCTAGCTTACAGGCTTGTGGGGCATTATTTACAAGCACAGCCGTTGAAAGGCCGCAATAGACTAGGCGGGGATCCATCAAGATTAAGCGGGGATCCATCAAGATTGAGCTCCACGGGTATATTCATAAATTCAATTATGGGCGCACACGTAGTGGACCGCCTGCCGCTTTATTGTCGCAATCGGCTTCTTCTTTCTCTAGAGCTAATTGCTGAGGCCTACAAAGATCGGTGTCTTCGTATCCGACTGAGCCCCGCTGCTACTGCTGCGCTGGCGCTATCCTCGGAGGGCAGCAGCGGGGAGGAAGAGGAAGACTCCAGTCCTTCATCTACAGCAGCGGGAAATGCGCGAGCAGCAGCAACAAGAGAGATTGCCGATGCTCTTTATAAACGCTCAGTTATACTGCTCGCGGACGGCCTGCTACCACCAACAATAGCGCAGACGGTCAGAGAGGGCCTAGCACTCTCCCTAAGCAGCCAACTTTTTATCCTAGAGAGTAATGCGCTAGGTGAGGGTTATGCGACAAACAAAAATCTCGAGCTTTACCATAGACAGCAAAACACTTTGTGAGCCCTTGACCGTGAAAATGACTGATGGCGGCAAGCCCCCGAAAGACCCTCCAAGACTTACCATTTGTACATTGGCAGGCACTAACACAGATTGTGATGCCTATTGATGGGAACTTCTATGTGCGTGTGTGCGGGGAGCGGTGAACAGACTTGTTAGGGCCATCCATCCCGGCGGTAAGCCAAGTCTGCGCGACGCTCACCACCATGCTCTTAGAAGCTTCCTGATTCCCAGGCTCAAACAATTTCCTTTTAGAGCATGCAGCACGTCTAGGTCCCAGCGATCTTTCCAGGCCTTTGCACTTACTCTGCAGAGGCACTTCTCTCTTCCTAAGGACCTCGCTATGCATAGGGAGCCCCTTCTCGTCGTTGCAGGCTTCCCTTGTCCAGTAAACCCTAAATACTAAGTCCCAACTTATCAGCATTTATGTGGGCACACTGTCGGCTTTCGCCTTCCCGCCATATTCAAGGCATCTGCAAAGCCACTTCGAGCTCTGAATCCTTATCCGTGTGCCCGAATAACTGCAACATGTTCTGTAGTCTCAGCACCTCCCTGAGGGTTATGCTAGCATCCATGCCCAGTTGTTGCGGTTACGGGAAATTTTTGAGGTTAAAGGTGCGGCCTTATGTCAACCAGCTCATTCAACGCGTTCTCGAAGTGCCTCTTTGGCTAAGTGGCTTTCGCGAAGAGTTTTTATTGTCTCCAGTCGCGTTCAACAGGAAACACACAGGGGTTCAGGCAATGCTTGCAATAGACATGCATCAACTATTTGCTACTGCTGCTGCTGCTCCTCTTTCAGGCTTTCTCCTCGTAAGGCCTCCGGTAATAGAAAACGGATGCACGACGGTAGGCAGTTGCCTTGAGAGGCAAATTCCAGTGACCCTCACCAAAAAACCAAGCAACCCACAGTAGCGAAATCAGGACAAAGAAATAACGACTAATATCATGACGAAGTTCGGCGCTCTCTCCTGCCCGTACTGTGCTCTTACCGAAGGCTTTCCCCTACTCCTGGTTCTTTGCGGAGATGTCCGCGGCCGCAGATATTTGGCGGATTACAACTACAGAGCTCCAAATCCAAGTACAGAAATACTGGCTGCGCCTGTTGCTGCTGCTCAATATTTCACTGCCTTTTTCGGCCTGCTATGGCATGTCTGCTGCCACTTCAGGCCTTGTCGCCCTGTGTATTGCTTTTAGTAAGCATGAAGTCTTACGTGCATCGGAAGACTTCATCGTCCAACGAGTCTACTCCTGGCTATTTCACCTCAAACGCGCACACCGTGAACATTTTGGCATGCTGTGTGCCTTAGGAGAGCCCTACAGCGGCAGATCTTAGTCCGCAAATTCAGCGCCTACTCCAGCAGCTGCAAGAACCACCGGAACCTACGCCTCTAGAACTACTGCAGCTTAACCATCTGGCCCCAGATCCCTCTGAGGAGGCCTCACAGAATGGTTTCAAGTACAACTAACCATCACAGCGAGTGCGTTTGTGGAGAACGCGTGCATAATGTGGAAAACGGTGGATGCAGGCAGCCCTTTGAGTATGTGGTGCTGCCCCAACAGATCCCAGAATCCAGTTCCAGCTGCCCAAGGCCATTACCTCCTTAAACGGCATACGTGTCCTGCATGCAATACTCGAGACCTCTGTGCTTTGCGTGCGCGAGACTCGGCCTACCCCCTTCCCTTACATAGCTCGTTGACCCATAGTTCGAGGTACCCGCCGTTTTGTATATCGTGCAGGCACCTGTAATCTCGTGTAGTGTCATGCAAATACACATATCTTAGGCCCTTAGCGTGCACTGTTAGTGGTGGAAAACAGGCATTTCGTGAAGGCTGTGCATCGCGCACAGTGAGGAAGTATCCGTAGTGAACAGTTCCACCTGCAGCGGCATCTGCAGCGTGTGCGGGTGCACAGCGGAGCGCACACGAAGGAATATGTAACTCATCTGTCCCTGGCAGAACTTGTCCGGGACAGTAGTGAGGCTACTCGCGCTAAGAGGCGCGTGAATATGGCTCCCCCCGTGTGGTCAAAATTCCAAAGCAGCAAGAACCAAGCTTCCTATGCTGCACTGGCAGACCAAATCTGGTTGCCCCGAACACATTTTCCGCTGCCTTGCTCGGCAAGAAATATGAGGATGTGTGCACTCGCGCACGATTCGGTGCTCACCTAGGATCGATGGGGTGTCCTGCATCTGGCTTGCCACTAGGTGTCTAGCTAAAAGCTTTAAATAGTAAGGTGATTGTAAAAAGCATTTGAAAGTCCAGCAAAGAAAGGGAGAAAGAGGAGCGACACGAAGAGACCCCCGAGGCGTCATTCCATGCCGACTGATTGGGGGCCCCCCAACGCTGCGTGTTCGCCGCATGTGTTTGCCCTTCTGCTACTTTCGTTGGAAGCTGACCATCTCTCAAGTTGGAAAGCCTTTTTAAAGGGAGCGCTTCAGCCCGCAACTGCGCACTGGACCCTACTAGCGCACAAGCAGCTGCAACAAGTCAGCTGCACCGGCACGGGCAGCAGCCACGCAGCAATGGCAGCAAGAGCACAAGCCAGAATCAATCTGGCAGTAGCATACGCAGGCTTGAAACACCACCAATAAGCTAGCTGCTGCGGCTGCTGGTGGAACCTGGCAGCAGCAAGACAGCAACAAGACAGCAGCAAGACAGCATCGCCACCTCTACCTTCACTAGTGACTGCTGCACCAGTGCTGGCGCAATGGAAAAGTACAGGGTGTTCGCAGACGAGCGGACCGGCTGTAACCCCTTTGTCCCCACTTACTACAGTCAGCACCAGCTTGGAGCCACTTTCTCAGGCTCTCCTTTCCTCGCGTTCGCGAAGACTGTTGCTAGGCTTCCACTCTACCCCTGTCTGTTGTTCCTGGCTATTGCACGGATCCTCCTGTTAGCGATTGCACTGCTTCTGGCAGGCTTGCTGCTGGTTCTCCTGGCCCCATTGCGGCCGCTACCCTTTCTGCAGTGGAGGCTGCAGCGAGCGCTGCTGCAGTTGCCACTCCGACTCGTCTTCCTCGCCTTCGGTTTTCATTGGATTTTAGAAGAAGCTGCAGGTACGTTTCCCAGTGCACATGCACTCAGACGCCTACTGCCCAACAGAGCCATCTGAAACTTCTGTGTACGAGCAGGCATGTGGAGCACACCGCTCTAGGTGCTGCTCCTCTCGCACAGTCAATTCCGTTGCATCCCTCCTTTTCGACCTGGTCATGTGCCTTGTTGCAAGTCTTCTTGCATGCCTGTTTTACTGCGCACTCCGCATGGGGCCCTCTGCCAGGGCGCTCGCTAGGGGTAGCCTTATGACTGAGAAGAGAAAAAACCGCTCCTTCGCAGCATCTTAGCGCCTAGTTTGTGTCGCTTGCCCACTCTTCTCTACATGGGGGAAGGAGGGGAAAGAGTGGTGCTCCCCGCGATGGCGTCTTTCCTCGTTTCCGCAGACTGCCGCCGCTTGAAGATTCTTCCTCGCAAGCTCCGGCCTGCTGCTCCGTTTGCTTCTTTTCTAGCACTTCCTCCCCAAACGGCGAGGCAGCCGGCTGCCTTTACAGGATTGAGTGCCTCTAGAGGTCCTTCCCCAGCGTCTCTCTGTTTGTCGTCTTTCACGTCGTTCGTTGAGCCTCTGTACCTACAGATGCGACTGAACCCGATTTTTGTGGGGATTCACGCGGACGGCTCGCTCTCCATACTGTCCTTCTGGGGGATTCTCAAATACGCGTTCTCCTTCGAGGTAAGTAGCTGCACATGCCCGCTTGAGTCGCCTCTTTGCTCCGTCTGGCTTGGCTGCACGTTGTCTTCGAAAGAATAAACAGTCCAATGACACCTTCACCGGCTACCGCGCATGCTCCTTTTTGCTGCAGCTGGCAGCAGGCTGCGGACAGTTTCCGTCCCTCTCAGCTCTGCTGCTATCGCTGGAGGGCAGGAACGCCGGCAAGAAGTTTATTCCTCCCATCGTGGTGTTCCCTGAGGGGCAGAAGAGCAACGGCAGCTGCTTGTTACTCTGGAATTCGAAGGGGCTAGACGCCGCAGCGTTGAATAGGCTCCGGGGACGGGTTACCCTGCTAGGGTTTGTGTACAGCCCAGAGGCAGTGCATTCAGCCCGCAAAGGATCGGCAGAACCTGTGTATACTGCTCCCCACACGGTACTATGCTTTTGCTTGCTGTCGTTGCTGCCGCTACACGTGCAGCTTTCGGTTAAACTCGTTTTTTTCATGCCTGACCGACCTCCCCAGACGCTGCTGTTTCTACCCTGTGACGCGGCGGCTGCAACTGCCCAGTGAATGATTGCTTTCCACTGCCAGTTGTTGTCTCTTCAGGCGTTGTGCTGTTCTGGCTGCAGGTGAACAGTCCCCTCCGCCACTTGCTACTCTTGCTGGTGCAGCTTCGTCAGTGCATGCGCTGCATTTGGGTGCCCCCCGAGGATGTGCTGACCTGTCAGCAGCAGCAGCAGGAGCGGCAGCAGCAGCAGCTCCTGCCGCTGCAACATCAGCTGCAGCCAGTGCCTGAACAGCAGCAAGGAGAGCTGGAGTCTCTCCGCTGCATCTTGCTGCGCGCAGTGCCTGGTTTAGTGGCAGTCAACAAGCGAGGCCAAGACCTTAAGGCCTTTAACGAGTACTGGAACCAGCAGCAACTGCACAGAGGCCGAGTCAAGCGAGCATGAGGCTCTCAGTGCGGCTGCGGATGCTCTGCTGCCACGACTGGCCCTTATCCTTTTAAAGCCTGTATGCAGCAGGCAGTCTGATCCTCCCGACTGGAGGAGATGCAGTGGCAAGGCGGGAGATTTGAGGCTCCTGAAGCCACCTGCTGAGCCTGTGGCCGCGCCGTAGCCTCTTAGCACCACGACCCACACTGCGACAGCAGTAGGGAGAGTGGTTTAGCGAAAGCACTCGCGAAGAAACTAACACGTGCTAGTGTGGTAACGTTGGGAACCAATAGAGCGCCTAAGATGCTCAGGTCTCTACACAAAAAGCATTTGGTGTGGGTCGTATTCCGCCGTCGATGGGAAGGAACATTGGGAAGTGTTTCGCATTGCGGAGACTCCAAACTGCAGCAGCGGCACCGCGTGGTTAATTGCACCTGGGGGCGATTCTCTTGCTAGCATGGACACACGCATTGTTTACACTTGAACGCCCTTCTGCGTCTCTAGGCCCCAGTATGCACGGAGTCACACGGAGTCAGTTGAGTGAGAAACAGAACCACACTTGTCCACCTGCCGTTCCGCGAGCTTCGCATGCATGCAACTCCAGTAGCGGGCACTGCAGGGCTTGATGAGGGCCGGCCCCTAGTGGCGAGACGTCACGAGGGTCTCATGCATGGGAAGCCGGCTGGTGGGGACGTAACAGCTCCCAATTACGAAGGTAAAACCTCCCTTTTGCCGCGACGTAAAGCCTCTATGGGCCTCTTTAAGAGGCATGGCGGAAGCGCTACTCGGCCTTTTTTGCTGCAACTTCGCAAGCCTCAAACGCAGCCTTGAGTTTGTCGTACGTCTCTGTAAACAAAACAGGCACACCACAAGTGGGAACAGCTTGTAGCGGAGACGCGCGCACTTTCGGATAAGCGCACGCGCGCTAGCTTTGGCTTGAAGAGTCAGGGAGTCGTAGGTCAACAGCCATACCCCTGGACACAACCGTTCCCTGCTTGTACACGGCCTCCCTGACGTGCATGTGGTTCTTGTTCTGCAACTGCGTCCTGTAAGGTTCCTTCAGGCATCTGCATGCAACAGAAAACAACCACCGTGATTCTTAGCGCTGCTTTCGATCAGTAGCTCAGCAAAACATGGTCTGGCACCAGTAGGACACACACTCCTGTAGACCGAAACAAGGGAAGGAAGGCTGGGGCTCCCGCATGCATGCACGAAAATCTCGAGTGCCACCACGCGAAGACTCCTAAGGCCACTTGCCCACTGCAGCAGCTGCTGCCGTGGATGCAGCTTCTGCCGCCGTAGCGCCAACGCCGAAGGAAGTCTCTGCTCCAAGCGTGGAACGGGAGGCAGCAAAGGGGGACGACGTTCCACGAAGACCACATGCGCACTGAAGCGCCCCTGCCACCCCTTCGCTTGCCAATGTGCAGTCACACTTTCTTAGAAGTTCCGCCATCTCCGCGGTGTATCTGGCGTAGCTGATGCCGCATGCCCTCCACATCATTTTCAGAAGGGGGACGTGCCGGGGTACCCAGGAAGATGCTGCTCAGTTGCGGTCCTCTTTGTAGGTGGCAAATGCCAAACACCAATCCAAGGCAGGCCAAGAAAACATCCACAGGGCAAGTAAGGAGCCCCCTACAGCGCTTGGGGCTTACGCGGGGCCGGTGCATGCACGCCTGCAACAATGCTGCAGAAAGGGCAACCAAAGAAGCATTACGGACGTCCCTTGCATTTTTGTTCTCTCTGGTAGCAAATCGTTCACTGCCTGAGGGGCAGGGCCCCCGGGAGCAGAAGCGGTTTTTCGAAACACCATCGGGTTGCCCAATTGCAGCCTTTTTGCGTAGACCGTATGCCGTACCCCGCTTTCTCGCCAGGTTCTCCCCCCTTCTTTGTTGCATCCGAAGCTCAATTTGCCAATTCAGCTGTGGGTGTCCTTTCTTACCAACTCCGCAAAAGGATCGCCGCAGTCGCAGCGCCAGAGGAGGGAGGCGCAGCCTCTGGTGTCTGCAGGTGCTGGCTCGTCGAGCGCTTGTGTTGGTGCGACAGCAGCAGGAGGGCTTTCTTATTTTGATTTACTGGCAGGCCAGCGACTATTTCACGAGTATTTCGTGCGCAGACCCCCTTCTGGGGTTTCCCCTGCGTGCCTGCGTAGGAGCAGCAGCTCCCGGGACGGAAACGCTGGCAGGAATACACGTCTGCGGGCGAGGAAGCAGCAGCAAACCTGCATGATAAGAAACAGGCGCAGAACGCGGTCAGCGAAGCCTGCGGTGCAAGCGTCTGTGGCTGCAGTGAACGGCCTTAGCCGCTGCAGCAGGTGGAACGAGAGCGGCAGCAGCAGCTCGAGCAACAGACACGAGGATGTCGGATCGTCGAGGCGGGCGCAGAGGGGTGAGACTGCGCCTTGGCGCGTTGAGTTGTTCTGGTAGAAGGCTTCGCTTCGGCTTCCCGCTCCGCACGGGCTGCTTGCCTCTGCGCTGCCAAGGGGCTGGTGAAGCCTGGTGGCTTGTAGCTGCTGCGCTGTGTGGTGCAGACACCTGGGGAGCCTGAGACTGCTCGAGTATACCAGGAGTTTCTCAAGACGTTTCAGCCTGAAGACCCCACAGCGGAGAAGGCCTTTGTCAGGGGTGAGGAGCCCCCTACGTGTGTTCCCCCCTTTCCCCCCCCTGTCTAGCCTTTCTGCGCCGAATTGGGGATTTTTTAGTCGTGACTTTCGAAAGTGGCTTCCGAGCTTCTTTTCGTCTTCAGGGGGCCTAATGAATGCGGGATCCGGTCAGACGGCGTATGAGAACAACAAGGTAGGGACGTAAATCAAGCCTTCCGTTTTAGGGTGTCTATAGAGCTCGAGGCGGTGCTGTCTGGAGGATCTCTTGGGCACTGACGCATAACATTCTGCGGAATCGCTGTAGAGGCTTGCGGGGGGCTCTCCGAATGTTTCTGTGTTCCTGTCAAGGCTCACGAGAGCCTTGACGGTGTGACTTTGCCCCTCTCGAGCCACCCGTCCACCCCCCGCCTGCCGTCGCTCCTTAAGGACGTTAACGGGGGCAGCTCGAGGCCATGCGGGCTTCTTTTCATGAAGCCAATTGCAGCCTATTTGCACCGTGATGCATCGCTGGCTGCATTCAGTTTCCACGCGTATGCTCTGGGAGGGGTAGCCAAGGGCCTTTCTGTGCGAAGAAAAGCCGGCGCTTCCGGCGTGCGTTGCCCTCTCTACTCGCGGATCGATCTCCTCCCCACCCAAGGGGTGTGCTTTTTCGCGTCTCCCGACCCCCAAGAATCCGCTCACGCGGTAGATGTTTGTTGCTGCTCTCTTGCTCTGCACTTAGGGATCGCTGTGGGTACCCACTGCTGCCCCCAAGTCTGCCGAAGCAGCGGCTGCTGCTGCAGCGGCCGCTGCGGCAGCTGCAGCCAACAACAGCGGCTCAAGCAGCACGCAGTCTCCAGTCCCTAAGCGGATGCCAGGCCGTCCAGGGCAGAAGCGCGAGATCGATTCTTTCCTCGAAGGTACAGACTCGCAGTTCAGCAGTCCTCAACCCTTTTGTGCTGAAACACACACACACACATACACACACACACATACAGACGCGTCAAAGCATTGCGGCTAGCCAGTGCGTGTGCATGGGGTTTTGCTGTGCTTCAGAAATCAAGAAGCGTCAGGAGCTTCAAGGCCAAAAGCGACGCCTCTACGAGAGGCTAAATCTCTCCCGCACAGGTGCCTTGCTGAGACATGCTTCTCGCCAAGGCCGTTGCCACGCGAGGCTGCTCCTGCTGCTTACCGAAAACGGATGCTCATGTGCAACTGTATGTGGCGTTTGTTGTTGTCGGTATGCACAGAGGAAGAACGCTGCGCCCTCCGCTACCAGATAGCGGCGTTAGAGGTAAATCAACCGAAAATCCACGATTCCAAGACGATGAGAGTGCACTCTATATCTCTGTGGGCTTGCATCGCCTTTGCAACTTGGCCTTGCGTATTTCGGATATCGGCTTTACGCCTGGGAACTTGCGGTGTACACGCGCAGAATGCGACGCGGCCACGCGGTGCTCCGCCGATAGATTTGGAGAAGGAGAGCTCGACGAACTTATATCTGGGAAACCTCTCACCTGAGGTGTGTATGTGTGTGTCTCGAGCGTTGCTGCACGAGCCTACGGGGAGCAGGCTGCCGTAGGGAGACGCTAGGGGTTCGGTTCTGTTCTGTGGGATGTGCCGTTTTATACGCGGGTATTTCTTGATTTAGTTTGTTTTTGTCTTTGGACCTGTGCTCAAAAACCTTTTGAGCGTTTGGCCTTCTTTCTTTTGTTGGCGGGGGCCTGTGTAAGGCTGCAGCTTATTCGACCCTGCGAGTCACGTGGGTATGGTGGAGTTTTTTTTCCACGCGGCGCTGTGTGTGTCTTGCGTGAGCAGATAACGGAAGAGTTTCTTTGCCAGCAGTTTGGGAAGCATGGGGTCATCACCAGTGTCAAGATCATGTACCCGCGGACGGAGGAGGAAAAGAGAAGAAACAGGAACTGCGGATTTGTTTCATTTGAAACGAGACCCCAAGCGGGTAGGCCATGAGCTGTAGATGTGAAGTCTGCAACACTGCTCGCACTACTCCCCGGGAGTCGCAAGGCTTTCAAGTCCACTTGTCGGTTTCCCGAAAGGTGCCACCTTTCGTCTGTTCGCGTTCCTCGCAATGTTTGGCCTATTGTGCTTTCTCGCGCGAGTTTTTATCACCAGCCCTCTTTCCCCGGAGTCTCATTGTGTTTTGAGGGGTAGCAGCAACTGCATGCGTGGAATTGAGTGCAGCTTTTGTTTGTTGGGGTCTCAAGGCTCCTGGTGATGGCGGCGCGTTGCACGAAAAGGCGCAACTTTGCAAGGAAATTGGGGGCTGTCTTTTGCTCCCCATTGAACTCCATTCTTTTTCTCTGGTTTTGCCGTGCAGAGTCGGCGAAAAACAGCCTGGACGGGAAATCCTTCTACGGAATGGTCATTCGCATTGGGTGGGAGCTCACTTTCCAAGTGCGGAGCTTCAGGCATCAGCGGCAGCTCCGCAGGCCTGGTGTGCACCCAGCTTGCGTCTGCCTTGCAATTGTGTCTGTTGCTTCCTCGCAGGTGGGGAAAGGCTTTGCGTCCCTCCTTTGGATCCACTCCGTCAGGACATAGCGCTGGAGGATTCTGTGAGTGCCAAGAAAGGCTGCGGCTTGCATTTTTCGGGGGGTTGAGAGGCTGCAGTTTCCTGCTCCCAAGTGCATCCACGCATGCATGCATGTTGCGGTGTTTGAGCGCGAGTCTGCCCCTCATCTGCAAGCGCTTGTCTTTGCACCGACATTGGGGCGTGCAGCCGATTCCCCCTTCCCCTCGACTGGCTTCTCCCCTCCGCCAGCGGCGTCCTTCAGCGTGGAGACTCCAGCAGCAACGCCAACACCTGCTCCTCCCCCCGTAAGCTGAGAGCTTGCGTAGCTGAGATGCGCGGATGAAAAGCATGGGCATGCGTTTCGCCGCCAGTGCACGGCTGCAGTTTTTCTTCGCGCACCTGGCTGGGGGTCCTTGAGCGCCAGGACGAAGCAGTGCTCCGAGCTTTTGGCATACGTTCTGGATGGCTGCTTGCAGGAAGCCGAGTTGGTCGAAGTGCAGGTCCCTAAGGACCGCAAACTGAAAATGGTGATCGATCTTTTGGCCAAATACGTAGCTGAGGTGGGCTGCACTCTCTAGCCGCCGGCACTGTCTGCTGCTGCCCTCCCCACGCGTTCTCGTTTTCGTGCTGCCTTTCCCTTCCTGGGTGTCCTCGACGTATCAATATCGACTGCCACTCTTTTCTGTTTCGCTGTAGGAGGGGCACGTATTCGAGCAACAAGTCATGGAGAAGTTTCCACCCGAAAGCGGTAGGTGTGGGAGCTCAGAGGATGAGGCCAGGCCCTGGCATGTAGGGAACATCTGGTTTTACTGAAGAAACTCTCGGCGCGTGAATGGAGGAAGTCACTGGCTGCAGGATCAGGGATAAGAGTTTAGGCTGTCGGCGCTGCGTGTGCTCAGGCCGTCTGAACTTCATCTACGAAAAAGATTCGCCAGACAGCATTTACTACAGGTCTCTCTCTCTGCCGCGCGATCCGCCTTGTCGCTTTTTCTTCGCGCACCGCTACGCCTGTAGGCTTGGCTCAAAGGAGTGCTGCCTGCTGAGTGTCTCTTTCGTAGGTGGCGTGTCTACGCCTTTGGGCAGGGAGACACTTTGAGGGCTTGGCGGCTCGAGCCCTTCTTCATTTACTCGGGAGGTCGGCGATGGGCTGCACCTCCAGAAAAGTATTTCCAACAACCGTAAGCCGTATTGCTGTTGCTTCTTCTTTTAGTGCGTGAGGCGTCGGTCAGAAGCCTTCCAGTTGTCGATCCCGCCAGTGTGCAGCAGCAGCAAGCAGCCCTAGGTGGAAGGCACTGATATCGTTGCTTGCCGCCGACTGCAGTGGAGCAGAGAATGTACTTGGATTTGCTGTTTGCTGCCTGTTTTAGGGCTAAGAAGAAGGTCGAAGCTGCGGAGGAACGAAGCTTGTACGCGACAACTCGCTCGTGTTGCCTGTTTGTCTTGCTGTTTTTTGGACATGGCGGTAGTTTTATCGCTGGTCCGGTGTATTGTGTGGCCCCCACAGCAGTTCTGTCTTTCTTTTCGTTTCGAGACGACTCAAGCGAACGCCCCTGCCAACGCTCTGGCTTACTTCGGATTGCGCCGTGTTCGCATTTGTGCGATTTACGCAGTCCGGGGATTGATTGTGCCATGGTGCAGTTTTTGGCTAACGGTATGAGCTGTCCGTTGCGCTTCTCTGCAGGCGGGCTGCTGCCCGAGGGGGAGAACGTCTCAGTGCCGCAGACCGCGAGGAGCTGGAAGAGTTGCTGCGCAACATAACGAGGGATAGGTGGGAAAACACGGCTGGAAAATGGGGGGTTCTCTCCATGTCGAGGCTTTTCTGGAAGTATTGCTGCTGACGAGTGGTGTGTGTGTCTCGCTGTCTCTGGCTTTGTGGTTTTGTCCGGTCTGCGTCCTCTTGTGCGTGCTCAAGAGTTTTCGTGCGTATGAGTGGCGTCTTCGTGTTCATTTGTGTGTGGTGGCGTGTGGGCTTCAGGGCGTCCGTCTGCGCAGCGATGACTTTTTGCATGTCACACGGAAATTGCAGTGCGGAGGTTTGCAGCTGCCTGACACAGTCCTTGACTCTCCCGGATACGGCCTTGACGATGAGGCTGGCGCGCACTTACCTACTCTCTGATTTGCTGGCGAACTCGAGCGCACAGACAACACACGCGTGGACCTACAGACACCACCTGGAAAAAAGTCTCCCCTTCATTGCGGAAAGCTGGAGCAAAGGTAGTCAAACGAAAGCACAAGTCTTCTGGCCTGCACCTTGGAATGCGCCTCCGTACTCTATTCATTTGCATGCGGGATATTAAAGGCAGGACGCCATTCGCTGCACCTGCTCCTGCTCTCTTTCTTTTTTGCATGTGTTTCAGTGCTGGAGGACCTTCGCATGGGGGTGGGTGTTGGAGGGGGCAGTCCGCGAACTCAGCAGGAACAGTGGCAAGGACTCGAGAGGGCTTTGTACAAAATGACGAAGCTTTGGGAGGCGTGGGGAGTCTTTCCTCCTACTTTTCTTAGGGTCAGAACCTCTCAGCGGAGTGCTCCATGCTTGCTCTTCTTGATGCTGCTGCTCACTGTCATCGATCTTACAAGTGATACAATTGCTGCTACTGCTGCAGTTTGGTGGCTTCACCGCACAAGTCCAGTTTTCGGCGTGGCTTCTGGTGTGTGTGTCTGTAGGGCATAGAGGCTACGCTTTGCGGCCGTGACATAACAGCAACAATCCTGGATCCGGATGCAGCAGCTGCAGAAGCAGCAAAGTGTGAAGCAGCTGCAGCAGAACTTGCAGATCCTAAAGTGGACGGACAACCTTTGTCGGAGAATCTCAGGCCCCTGGTTGCGCAGTTTCCACTGTGGTTGCGGCCTGCCGCGATGGTAGGTTGCTGTGGCTGCTTCTGAGTTCCCCCGTGCAGCTGCTTGTGACAAGTCAGTGCCTGCGTGTCGGCCAGAGCAGAAGAAGAACGATGGCAGGGGAGGGGCCACAGTCTGCCGTTGGGGCGTAGTAGTGTATGTGCTTGTTCGGAGCTACACTGGCGGTATTCTACTCAATTCTTCGTCGTGCAGTGTATTTTTGGTGTTTTGTATCAGGAGTGGCTTTTGCTGGACCGCTATCAGCTGGACAAGCTTTGCCAGCAGCGGGGACTAGGCGTGTTACCCTCCCGCAGCAGCAGCTCCAGCAGTAATGAGAGACGGCAGAAGCAGCTTGTGCAGCTAGCCCAGCAAGAGCTGTACTGGCGACTAAAGCAAGAGGTGATACTGCTGCCCTCTTTGCTGGCGTGGCATCGTCTGTTTCGCTGCTGCACTTTACGCCACTGCCCAAGATGTCGCGGCCGTTTTCGCGCGCTGTGGCGTGTATGCCGAAGCTACCCTTTGTGACTCCTTGTGTCTACAGGCAGCAGAGGTTCCCCTAGATGTTTTGCTCGAAGCCCAGGCTGCTGCTGCAGCGGAGCGTCAAGCAGCCGCAGCAGCAGTAGTGGCAAGTGCTGCCGCTCCGCAAGACGCAGTGGTGGCGCCTGCAGCAGAGGAAGATCCTGCCGGTGCAGCAGATGAGGGAGTGAAGCAACCCGAGGAAGATCAGCAGCAGGGCGATGTTGCGAGCGAGGCGTCAGATATCTTCGTGTTCGAGAGGGAAGAGGAGGAGCAGCAGCAGGAGGATGAGGATGGCACCGCGGCCGCCGCAGCAACTGCAGCAGAATCCCAGCAGGCCCGGGAATCTGACAGAGAGCGCATGCGCGCCATAGAGCTGAAGGTTACTGAGCTGCAGGTCCAGCTTGAAAACCAGGGTAACTCTCTCTGCCCCCATATGTGTTATGTTTCAATATTTAGTCGGATGGTTTCCAGAATTCGTCTGACCGAATATTTAAACTTGAGTGTTGTGTGAGTTTTCATTGCAAGGATGGACATGCGAGCAACTTGGGGTAGTTGTGCCGTTTCCGACTAACTCTATCGTAAAGTTACGCAGTATGATTGCATTGTCCGGTTGTAACTCTTTTGTCTGTGGCTGGAATCCCATATGACGAACTGCAGAACATTTGCGAAAAGATACGGGTAATGACTCAGGAGTATCTTTATTGTTACGCGAAGGCCGCGCTATTGGCCACAAGCGTTTGTTCACTACGTTTGTGTTCCTGTGTCTGTGGTGGCACTTTTGGGGGTAATTTATATTCCAGTCCTCAGATAGTCTCCATATGCAAACGACACACATGTTGAACGCAAACAAATACTCTGGTGTTACTTGTGACCCAAACCCAGTGCAAGACTTTCTGTTGTACAGCTTTCTCAAGTTCAAACAAGGCCATAGGTCACTTTGTCTTAAACAGTGAACAAGTTTATTCTACAATGTGCAAATCTTTACGTGATAGTATTGGTTTATAAAGTGCGGTCGGTATGGAAATTTTGAGTTTTCTACCCGTGACATGCTATTCCCGACTAACGTTCGTGGTAACTTCCTCTGTGGAAAACGTTTAGGTGCCAGAGTTAGATACATGGCAGTTCTCTCTGCTTGGTGGAGTGATAGTCAAAGGGATTCACGGCAGTTTCTGTAAGCGCTGGGGAACCGATTATGTCGAGTGGCGAGTTGTGTTGTGTGAAATTTGATTTGGCAGGCGTTTCCAAAGACGAGATCTCGAGTCGCTGCGACGCCCTGAGGCAGACTTTACTTGAGGTGAGGGGGAATTTCAGTATATTTAAGCACGCATGAGTTGATTTTTTCTCTGCACGTTGCTGTCTGATTTTTTTCTTCCCGTATTTTGGTGATCACACATACATAGCGGAAAATAATACAATAGAGTGATCTATTTGCTAGCGGGTAGTTCGTTTATCCATGCATCAGGAGCACCAAGCGGCCGAGGAAGCAGCTCAGCGGAAGGCTGCCAAGACTAGAGAGAGAAGCAGATCACCTCACAGTCACCGGAAGAAATCGTGAGGCACTACCTACCATGTAATATGATTCAAAGTGTTCAGCCCCTCAGTATAACTTGTGTAATATAGCTCATGAACATCAGTCCTAGCTGCTCCCCATTGGTTTCTTGCCACACGTGCCCCAGTCTAGCATTTTAGGTGGCTACGCGTTCGGAATAAAGCGGTGATACCAGCAGCTTTTTTAAGGTTGCCCAGTTAGTGATGTAATTTTTAAGCGTGCTAGCACACCTCTAATCGATGCGCCAGTTGTATTTTGCTGAGTTTTCCTTGGTGCGCGCAGAAAGGCCAGTAGCCACGTTTCTAAGGCATGACTACAGGGTTGTAGCAGCAGAACCTCAATGTCCATGCCCCTTTCTGGTAATGCTGCTACACCTCATAAAGCTGGAGGAAGCAGTAGAAACCGTGAGGGAGGCGCAGCTTGATGCGCTGCAACATCCACTGATGGGTAGTATACACCCCACTTGGCGCTGATGTGCCTCCCTTCGAGGTAGAGCGACAGATTTGTTTTTACCCCTTCCGTCTACATTCTTTTTGCGTTTTATTCTTTTGGTAACGGATTGTCACCAAAGTCATGCTCATCCCTAGGTCTGAACTGCACAGCAGGAATATGCAGCGTAAGATAGTAGCAAGATAGTTAGGCTATATAGGGTTACTATACTCTAGCTCAAGTAATAGGCGGGTGTAATAGTGCATAACACAGGGCATACTGGCACAAGAGCTCAAAGCCACCCTATGATTTTGCTTGTGTGGCCTTTTTATTCATAATGTCCCTAGTGCAGTGTGCTCCGGTGAGTCAGGAATGCCTTGAACGGCTAATAATGTGCAAAGTGGAAGCGCGATTTAACCACACTACATGGAGCATACATACTTGCGCAGAATCATTTAATTTGCGTTGACGTGAGTGTTTTAGCGACTGCTAGCGCCCCTCTTGGAATGTGCAACCGTAGCTCTCACTCATTGGTTCCTCTTTGCTACCCACACTTGCTGAAAGGCTATTCTCTTTTGCGTCTACCACGTGCGGCGTGCCTGTGAGTTTAAAGCGTCTTTTATCTGAAAACATCTAGTACTCGCCTCCATGTAGGCACTGCGGAAAACCCTCCTTATGGCGCTTGTTTCTCGACACTACTGAGGGGGTCCTTCCATGTAAAGGGCAAGCTGTTTGTCTTGGGATTCTCTCTAGAACACACCTGGCTGAGTGTCAGGAGAATAAAGTTTACGCGAGGCCTTAACGTTTCCAATCTAGCAAGATGCGAAAATCAACGGCGAAAACTCATGACTCTTGTAATGCCAGTGGGATCAGGCCCACGGACGGACAAGCATCAAGCACGGCGTATGGCAGCATACGCAGCTATTATCTCCTCCATTTGTTCGAGGGCGAATCTGAGTTCCTCTGCTCCAACGCCGAACTGCTCGTAGTGGTGAACAAATGCCCCAGCATGCAGCAGGTCACGGCTCATCTCCAGTGTACTGCAGCACACCATACCCCTATCGTAGTGCATTCCGAGACTGAAAAGCCCAGGTGATACGCAACATAAAGCTTGTACATCTTTGGAATACAAATTAGAGTAGGTCAGCCTCTGTTCACCTTCGGAGTGCTGGAAGCGGTGTGCAACAGCTTGTAGTAAGAGACGCACTGCATGGTTCTCCAAGGGCTGGGAAGGGATGAGAAGAAACCTGAAGAAAAGGGTAAAAAAAAGCATTACACAATGTCAGCATTGGCAAAGTTGAGAAGCATGCAAGCCGTACGGACGCGCAACAAGGCCACATGGAAAAATCAGCGAATCTGCAAACCTTTATAGGGCCAAGGGCGTAGGGCCACAATGCAATATTGCAGTCGTCCACGGGGTTCCCATCAAAACTTTTTGATTTTGGTCCTCTCAGGCAGAGCCGCGCAGCTACCGCAATGTTTGGTTGGGCGTCCTCTGCATTGCCTTCATTGAAGGAACTGCTTTGGTTCTGCTGTCGCACTTCTGCATAGTGGCTCTGTCTCGAGCGGCAAGAGAACGCTGGACTGGGAGGCGCATAGAAGTCCAGGCTGTCTGCTCTCTTAAACATGCGCTGCAAGCGGCAGAGCAGAGATCGAAAGGTATAAGGGGCCAGGCCAGAGCTGCTGGACTCAGCCGAAAAGTTTTGCGGAAGGTACCGGCAAGTTAGTAGCTTGAAGGCTGGGTGCGCTGCAACGTCTGCCACTACGTCTCGCAAGGGGCAGTGACGCGCTGAAGCAGCATCCGACCGCAGAGCCCCGCATCCTACGTCTGTACAAGTCAAGCTCTTATTTTCGAATTTTTTTAATTGCCCGCCGCTGCATCTAGAAGTGCCCTTGGAGGAATGATCCCATGCATCGGAAGGCAGCAGGCAGCAGCCTAGAAGTTCACGCGAAATGTAACGGTTTATTCCCGAAAAATTCGCTCCTGCTCCTGCCGGAGTAGCTGCTGAATGCCTTTGCAGCGCTTTTGCACATCGTGCGTTTTCGAAGATAAAGATTCCATCACTGCATCCACACATCACGGGTTGCCGAGAATAATGTTTTAGGCAATTGGGTGCTGCCGATACATGTAGGAGTGGCAATGGAGTTACAGCTGCACCGCTTTTATGAACTTATACTACCTATCTCGCTGAAGTGAAGCGAGGGTTAGCATCGCGTTGAGAGACTGCGTGGAGACTTCAGATTCAAAGGGCCAGACACAGCAACTTGCAATGCAGCTTGTTGGTAACAAATCTGCACACAACTCCGTCATGTACGAGCCAACGCCAGAGCCTGTACCCCCTGCCGCCGGATGCAGCACACAGATACGGTTTTATACTTGGTGGCAGCATTACGGCATGCATGCCGGCGCCAGAAGTTACATCGCTGGCAGAGACATAATGGAGCCTGTAAATCTCCGCACTACCAGCCGCTACGATAGCGCTGCTGCTATTATTCTTGTAGGTGAGCCAGCTTTACCTCTTACCGGCAACGGAATGGAGTATCAATACAGAATTTATGGCGTCTGCATCCTCTGCGAGGCTCGTTATCAGGCTCTCGAGCGTATCGTGATTTGACGGGCCCTGCAACTCGTGACCAATAGCCCAGTTGTTCCCGCAGCCGCCTTGCTGCCAAAATGCACACTCAGGTTTCCAGCACCAATCCATGGTTGATCCAGGTACGCTTTCCCTGTAAAGTGTACGTCCTGAGTATCCCAGGTCAGTGCTTTTGCTACTGGAAAGGGGGGGATGACACACAAGACAGTTTTGGACGGCCTTAGCCTCCATGTCGATAAGAAGGCTGCGGGCATATAGTACCTTATCGCCTCCTTTAAGAGAGGACTCGCTAAAAAACCTGCGGCCCAAGCATTCGATGCTTTTGCTGAAGCCTGTGCTGGATGCCCTCTGGAGTTCAGCATAGATGGCAGCAAACAGCTCGTTTCCAAGATAGTTGCCACAACCACCTACCATCATTACGAGGGTAGACATCGTATGCTAATATGACAGTGGGCGTTGATTCCACATGAAACACGTGTAGGAGCAAAGGCCGGCAGGCCGCCTAGACTTTTGCACTCAATACAGCAGCTGCTACTCAGTATGGAAGACACCCCCCCCAAAAAATTGTCAGTTGTGGCTTATGTATGCTTAAGAAGACACAGCTTCCTTTGGTCTCTCTAATACCCTATGCAGCAAAGTTGCCGTTGACGAGTTAGGACCATCTGCGTTTGGTAGAGACGATATTTACCCCAACCACTTCGAGCGTAGTCATTGCCTGCTAGATTTAGCTTTACTGACTTTTTGGAGCCCGGAAATCCAGCATCTGCTTTGATCAGGTCGTCGTTCTCTGCGATGTCCACATAGGAGCGAGGTCTATGGCATGGCAGTAGTCGAGCTGTCGATACCACAGTCGCCAATTTCTCTCCCCTCTTGTTGAGTAGCCAGTATTTTCTTGCAATGAAAAGCACTATTGGAAGGATACACAAGGGCATACACGTCTTTGAGTAGGCCTATTTTACGGGCTCCGACCAGCACAGACAGTTTTGCTTCAATGCGATGCCCCACGGGGGAAAAGTTTCTAGAGGCCAAGGGCCTATGAATCGAAAGAAATTTGAAAAGTATTTTGAAAAAGAATCTCGTTTTGAGTATCATCAGTGGATTCTAACTTGCAGATACCCCGCAGATATTTAGCAGCCTCTGACATGGCACTTGCCCGCATATACTGTTGAACTACAGGGTCCATTCCAAAGTCAATTAGCACAAGAAAAGTGCGTGGCTGCACTTGGCTAAACTTCACGTACAGAGTGTTTTAGTGCAAATATAAGGCGCTGAATACTATTTCACGATGACTTTTGAGTAAATCGAGCGGTTATATACCTTTGCGTGCTCGTGCACTGGCACAATGCATTCCAGCAACATTCAGCCACAGCTCTGGAGGTTGCTGATTCCCGAAACAGCACCAACTCCTTGCTTATATAGTCTTCTCAAACTCGTTTCCAATTTTTAATTTGCTTGCCTTCTTCGGCAATGCTGTTAGACCTAGTTTAAATGATATATAACTCTAACACGCCGTTGTGGTGGCCGACAGGGGTTCTATCAGACAGAACAACTAATTGAGGCAGTGCCATCCTTCAACCATCTCAATCTTCAAGTGATTTTTCGGCATTCGAGCTCTCAAGTTCAAGGCTTTTAGCATTCTCAAGCCAGATCTTTCACTGAAAGGCACAGAGTCGTGTGCTAGCTGAACCTCATGTGGGCCTGAATGTTGAAGTCGAGAAAAATCGAGAGCAAACTCATCCAAGACTTGTTTAAGAGCTCCTAGGTATTGGCTCTTATGCACATGAGCAACAGTTGTCTAGTGTTTCAGTATTGCTATTGCGCAGAGCCAGAACATATGGATTGGTTACATGTCTCCAGCGTGAGAACCTGGGTCCCTGGATTACTTAGACTCCAGAGAGTGGTAGCCGATCAATGAGATATGTGCACAACAATGCAATTCACCAGAGCTCTCAGGTACCAGCTATGTTATGAGACTATATATTTGATGGCACTGAACCATACTCACGTGTCCCGTAAACTCAGGCGCGGACATGCGGTACAATGCAACGTTTTTTACAGTATGCCTTGATAAGACAAGCGCCCTGAAATTTATCTTTTATTCATATACCAAGCCACAACTCCTTTGGCGGATACACTTTTCTAGAACGACTTTATTCAGCCAGGCACTTGCGAACTGTTTTCGTTCACATTCCTGCAGACCTTGACCTACGAACTGTCGGTTACAGGAAGCTGCTGCGTGAAGGATGGCCACTACAGGTACAGCCTATACTAGCTTATAGGACTAAAAAGTATTACCTTTCAGTCTCTAGTCGCAGCAACTAAGAAAATGGCACGACAATCATGACATTACTAGTACTTGCAGGTTCCCTGCCATACACTAGGGAAAGCTAGTCTTAAGTACTGTTCACGGCACCAGTTCAACCAACACCACATTAAGTAAATCCCTAAAACATCAACTCTGCGATAGATTGTTCATAAGGACACACTGCTTTCGGAGGCGGTCGCATCGTAGAGGATATCCGCTGCGCTAAAGTACCGTGATTTGATAACAGTCTGGTGGCTTAACAGAGCTAACTTCATTGGTCAAGATCCATAGCTCATCTAATTTCCACGGTTTGGCGAGACGGCGCAGGGGTTAGCTTTCGAGATCCGACAGAAGAACAGAGCGTCTTTTTGCTCCTTTCAAAGTCCTGGGAAAGCACTGTTCAGCGATTGGGAGAGCCGTAGGATTCGTTCAAGAAAACTTTCTCCTTCGACATGAGTCTCAAGTAGCACCTAGAGTTGTTATTAATCTTAAAAGTACACGAATGCTGCTAGGTATTGTGGGCGCCTACCTCTTAGCTTTAACGCATATTTTTGCAGAGCGAGAAGAACAATAACAAGAACAGGCATAATTCTTAGTTATGCCCAATCAAGTGCATAAGCGACTACACGGCCGATCAACAAGTGGTTGAGCTTGAGAGTGGCTTTCTTAACGCCGATGGCCCTTGCCTTTAAGCAGGTTGTGAGTTACGCAAGCTAAGTCCTCGTAAAGAACGCATCCATACGTTCAGTCTCTTGAACGCCAAACCGAATTGAATTTCCCAATCGATAACATTTCGATTACAGGAATAGTTTTAATTTATTGTTCTAGTCACGGCTTCAATTTTGTTCCTTGTAAGTGGCTTCCCTCCAACTGAATTTCTTTTGCGTCCTCGTCGATAAGTCAACGCTTTCTGCCTTTCGCCATGAGTCTCTCCATCACCTTTCCTAGACTCTGTGCTCTGCTGCCTCAGGGCTTCCAATGTTGCGTGCCTCCGCCGATGCCAGCCTTGCATACGCATTTTTCTATGATGTTCCATGGTTTTGAGCGCTATTCGCACCTTTCCTCTAAATTGCTGCTCCTCCCTCGAAACGGTGCTGAAGCGACGCTTACATGCCGCTTCCCAACGGGCAATATAAGGCCAAGCGTAGCGGCAGTGCATAACCTTGAGAACATCAGTAATTAAGAACCAAAGTAAGCTCCAGATGATTGTGATTCCTGCGTGGCCCCACGATATGCCTAGCATGCTTGGGCCCGGAGCAATTCTCCACTCACGCTTCCAATAAACAGAAAGAAATAGCGTGAGGACAACAGCCAGAACTTGAGGTGTTAGCACAATGATTGACGGAATGCGGGTTTCTGGACCGTAGACAAAGGCAAGCTGGTTAGTCCGACAACTGTGGAAACTCAGCTGAATGCATAGAGTGAATAGCAGCCAAATCGCAGCACTTGTTTGGAGGCTCCTTGGCATATGCCCTCCGGTCGTAACTTCGGCTACGCTAAAGCTGTCTAGATTGAAGAGTTTCCACCAATTTACTCCGTAGGCTGGGTCGGACAGGTAAATATAAAGTAGCATGCACATGGCCATCAGGGTTGCAGTCACGATTGCAGCCGATGAAACCTTGACCATCGACCAAATTAGGGGCTTGCTGGAAGAGGGCACATTATCACGCGAGCAGCTCATTAACACGAAGTCGTTGATAATTGCGACAAGTGCCAGCACCCATGTAGGATATTCATAATCAAAAATAACAACGCAACCCCACCAAAACAAAAGGGTCATGACACTGCCGTGGATGCGGAAGGTAATATAGGCTTCGATACGCTTGAATATTTGCCGGGATAAGCTTAGGACGGTAATTATGCTTGATAACCCAGGAGAGAGTAGCGTAATATCAGCTGCAGCACGGGCAGCTTCTGTTGCTCCGCTAACTGCTATCCCCACGGTTGCCCGTTTCAGCGCAGGCGCATCGTTGACTCCATCACCTGTCATGGCAACAAGGCAACCGCTCCGCTGTAAAGTATCAACAATGTCAAACTTGTGCTCTGGGTACACCCCAGAGAAGCCATCTACCTTACTAATAAATTCGTCAAACTGCAAGTCACTCTCAAGGCCTTTCGGTCTCTCCTTGAAGATTTCAGGCCCACAGATGTTATCGCCCAAACCAAGGAGCCTAGCTGTCTCAGCTGCGATTGCTCGCTGGTCTCCAGTCAGCATTTTTATCTGGACTCCCATTTGCTTTGAACGCTCTAAAGTTTCTCTTGTATCAGCTCTTGGGGGGTCTCGAAGGCATAGAAAACCAACAAGCTCCCACATGGTGCTGCTGAGTGCCTCCGTGGCTTCTTCTAGTATTTCGGTACCTTTAAAAGCTATTGGTTTAATAGCCACCCCCAGAGTACGTAACCCTCTGCGAGCTTTGTCTTCGATGATGCTGTTGAGACGCTGCAGCTTCATAGTGTCTCCTGGTGCGCAGACCAGCTCACCGATGACATGCGGAGCCCCTTTTGTCACAAAGAGCACCTCTCCTGACTTGGTGCGCACGATACTGTCAGCACGCTTATCGACTGGATTGAACGGCGTGTAGTCCAGCACCTCGAACTCTGCGCGCTCCTGCATATTGGCCTCTGCGTTAATGGCCAAATCGATGGGATCTGGCTCAGTACAGCTCGTTGCGAGAGATGCGTAAACTAGTAATTGATTAGTTGTGAAACCGGGCTCTACGCTTGTATCTTCCCTGGACAGGGTAAGTTTGTTGAGGGTCAGAGTACCAGTTTTGTCCGTACACAGGATTTCGACCCCAGCGGCCTCCTCAATGGCAGAGAGCCTTGAGACAACCGCGTGCTCCCTGCTCATCGACACTGCCCCCACCGCAAGCACAGTGGTCGTTACCACCGGCATAGCAGCAGGGATTACCGCAGCTATTAGCGTAAAGGCGCGCTTCAAGAGCAAGCCAAGGTTTACTTCTCCATTCCGTTTTTCTATCCATGCCGGATGAAATCGCTCCCAAAAAACAAGGAATAAGGCAAAGATCACAGCTGCCAATGTAAGAGCCTTTGATGCGCTATCTAGAATTGTGCGCAAATGACCTTTTCGATCTGCTCGAGCGAGTAACGCTATAGTCTTGCCGTAGAATGAATCAACTCCGGTCTTTTGCACTAGCATTGACCCCTCTCCTCGCTGAACAACTGAGCCGCTTAAGAGTTCCGCACCCCTACACTTCTTGACTGCCAAAGACTCCCCAGTAAGAGCAGACTCATCTAAAAAGATATACTTCTGATGGGGAATGAAAACTCCATCTGCTGGTACTATCATGCCAGCCTTTAGCCATACGACGTCTCCTGGAACCAGATCAACTACTTCAATTGAACTCCACACCCCGTCGCGCTTAGCGCTGCATTCTGGAGCTGCCAGCTTTTCAACTGCACTGATGGCGTTAGCTGCTGTTCGCTCTCCCATGTAGTCAGCCCAGACCATCACGTTGCACAGGAAAACCAGCAAGCTGAAAGACAGCCAGTCCCGTTTCCCGTCAATTTTGATACAAACGGACATAATTGCAGAAATAGTCAGCAGTATTGGAGTTGTGCGGAGATATCGTTTGGCAACCTTCTGCCACTCTGGAGTCTGCATGCATTAACCGCGGCAGGAAGATTCGCATATACAATGGCAACGCTTTATGGTACGGCTTAGACTGGGATGGCTTTTTGCTATGAGTTTCACTGGGGCTCTCCTTTATATGCCCCTATTTTCAGGGTAGCAAAGTGACAGCTAGTTGCATACGAAGAACAAAATGCATCGCAGAAGGGTCAGACGAGGCCAGCAGCAACAGCGACTGCAAAAGGCACTGACATCTTCTTTTTATTGAGGGTCTATGTTCTATATTAAAGAGCACCAGTGGTATCCTTTGGTAAATGATAATGATGTGAATACCCTGGAGTTGATGCTAGCTCGGCATCTCACCTGCTTGGATTTCACGGAATTCGGCCCAAATACCTCGCGGAGCTCGGCCGCTCGTTCATTTGTGAGCCCTGTATCTGATAGCTCATCGTTAAGTCCAACATTGTACACTGGAACCACTGCATCTTGGGACAGACTTGTGAACTCTCGAGAATGCTGGCACTGCTCAGGTAAGAGCGCTTCAGAGGGTAAGACGCTTGTATTATCGGGCTGCTCTGGCTGTCCTTGCGGCTCGTAGCATTCTTCGTTGGCTGTGTGTTCACTGGCATGATGGCTGGGTGCCTCTATCGAGGCCTGCTGACAGACGGTTTCCACCTGGTGCATCGTGGAGCTGTTCAAGTGGCTTTCCATTTTATTCCCCAGATTCCCGACTGACATGCTTATGTTACCAGAATTATCGAGACAAAACGGCTCAGAACCCCTGGGAACGCGATGGACTACAATGACTCCGTCTTGTGGGACAATGAAAGTCCCTCGCCAGGGTAACGGTGGGCAACGCCAGCAGCGCTGTACGTGCTAACATTGAATGCTGCTGTTCTAAGGAGTAGCCGCAACCGCTAGGGCTATTCAAGAGCGTATACATCGTTTTATATAAGCCTAGCTTGTTTCATCATGCGACTAGGCCTGTGGAAACCTTGTGTATGTGACCCCAGTCCATTGGATGTCGTAAGGTAAGAATGGTATGCGAGACTTCTGAAGCACCAGTCCTGCTTATTATAAAGGTTTCGGCAAACTTCTTAGGGTGGAATGTGTGTCCAAACCCCGTGCTTCAAAGTAGCTACTTGCCTTCCAGGTTGGGTTGTTGAGGAGTGCGCACCGGGGCTCTTGAGCCTTCGCGTTGTTTACTAAGGAAGGTTATGACTTCAAAACAACTGGTCTGATTGGCACAATCACAAAACAGCATCTCAAATGAAAGACGCTGCTGATCGTCGGTACATGCTGTGGAGGCAGTCAGCAAACGTCTGACAAGTGATCGAGGCACTCAGCGAGATGGTGACCCCGAAAGCCTCGCGTGTCGAAGCCATATAACAGAGTGAAGTTTCCAGGGAAGGTATTAATGCAACAGCCAAATTCAATGTCCAACTTCATATCGCTTTAGCTAGAAGCTCCGGGACTTCCATAAATGAACCATCCAGCGGTACTGTGCACTGCAGTGGCTACGATTTCCCCACACAATGAGCTGTATGTTTTTAACACCCATAACCAAAAACTTTTACAGTAATGCATTTGATTCGTCTGCGAAGAGGCATAAGGTAGCTTGTAAGAATGGCTCAGCAATTCTCGTCCTCTTTAGAAAGCAGTGACATGTTCCGTACAAGGTCAAAGTTTACTTGGGTAGCAGAAACAAAAAAGGCCCCTCCCTAGCATCACGTTTGGACAGCTTCTCTGGTGCTATAGTACAGCCTGCATTACACCAACACGGCTTTAGTCACTCTCTTGCAAAACTTATAGGCCACAAGGATTTTATCTGGCCGTTGTAATTACCCTCTGTCTAATTGCCTACCATATGCCCCCTCCCACCCACATGTCTAACCCAACGCATAGCCGCAGTCCCACTGCAATGCGTTTAAGATCACTGAAATGCCCAGGTGCACGCCTGACTGCAAACAAATTCTACTGGAGCCTGACCAGAATCTGGCCTTTCTTTGGCTCACCGTCGCATACCTTACGTTTATGAAACCTAAGCTGCGAATACCTTCACTTAGCACTGCTAATGTTGCTCAAATTTGCGTGTACGATAGTAATTCCAGTAATAGGGCATGGTCCTAGCCGATATTTTTGATCCGCGCGTTTCCAAAAGTGACCGTGACTGGTTTCTGACTGCCAGTTTCAAATAGGATGGCACTTGCGCATTATTGCCAGTGAGAAATAGTTGAGCATACTGCAAAGACAAGCTCCTCCAAGGAAAATTCACAAGGCCTTTACCGAATGGCTACTTTAGTTTTATCGTTTTTCATTCGAGGTCGAATACCCATACTGATGCCACCATCCGAATTACAAAGGCCCCTGAAGGGGGTTGGATGGCCAGCGCTCCTTTTGCAGTGTTAATACTCGAGGTTTTACACATGTAGCGGGCCTCAGGTTATGAAAGGTTTTGATCATGAGCGCTTGGAATATTCTAACGACATAAATGATGCATTCAGAGCAGAGAATCAGGTTTAGGTCAAGAATGCCACTTGATAGTAGAGCGTAGGCGAACCTGACACGCATACTTTTTCATTTTACACTCATTCTTGCCAGAAAAAGGTGTGTCAACCCAAGTTTTTCAGGTGATCTGTGCCTATACCCTCTAAATCATGTGTTCCCTGGTGAGTCTGTGAGCAGCGAAAGGAGCCAAGGCGGTGGCTATCTTGTCTTGTATGCATATATACAGCGGTACCTGCTTTTGCGGACTTAGTACAATGTCAGGAAACCAAGTAATACAAGGGCCGTCGGCAGGTTATTCTATGAAATGAACTGTTTGACGATCTGCTGCTTCCTAAAATAGCCAGAAGGAATCTATCTTTCGATATACATTTGGGAATTCGGTAGTCCTGTAATTCTCCCTCACATTACTTCGAGGAATTAGTAATGTCCTAGTTCAAACGCTGAGGCATTCCCCTTGAGTATGGTGCACCCTAGACTATCCATTGTACGGCAATTCTAAGAACGCTCGCAGACTATCCAACCGTTGCGCTTTTTGCTTTTACCAATTTTCTCATTTTTTAAAATGCTGCGTGTAGAAAAGGCTTCTTGCAAGATCGATCACGTCCATCAGAGCGTGGCACCGTTTATTCGTTGTTGCTAATATCAAGTCCAACTTTGAACTATCGAAATGTGCACGACAATGGTTTCGATCTTGGCATCTAGCTAGTGAATATGGCTCATCATGAAAATCCTAAGTCTGGTGTGTTACTGGGATGCTTCGTTTCATTTCAAGGCGTGGGCGAGACAGTAGTGGTAGAAGTACTGTTAATTTTTTGTGTTTGTTTGGCTTGTTTCTGAAGCCAGTATTTCAGTGGATCAACGAGATACACTGGTTGTGAATGGTATGTATCGTCCGAACGAATTTCTGGCATGACGGCATCGGGCTCTTGCACACAGTATATCTTGTCAGGGTCTATAACTGTGGTGGCTTCCCTTGATCTCTCATATTCAATTTGTCGATTATTATAACGGAGAGGGCGTGACTGTTCCACGTGTAGCTTGCCCTCAAGTGATATACTCTTCAGCTCTTCAAGGAATGCCGAAAGTGCAACGCGGAGGGGATCGAAATATTCACTGCTCACTAAACGAGTTTCCATCCCTTCATCTGCTGGGTAGTCCAGAGGAATCTCGCGAAACCGACGCCTAGCAGTGTCCCAGCCTGCCTCCTGTTAGACACAAGAACAGGCCAGCTGTAGTATCACCGCTCTCATCAATGAATCCCTAGCTCAGAGGAGCACAGCTGGAAGGCATGCGGGCCTACCTTTCAGAGGCAAGGGCAGCAGCTAAGGGTTTTCTTTCATAATCATTCTAAAACACCTACTTTATACTTCCCCGGAAAGAAGTCGAATGGACCAAGAGTACTGTTAGTGGGGAAGGCATCGTCTGCACCCTCTGGTTCGGCCCTACAATAGCCTTTTAAAGTTGTGGCTGACAGTACACGGGGGAGCTTGTTCAGTACAAGGTTTTCTTCTTCGTGAGTTGTCTGATATAGCTCGTCTCTTTTCCAGTAGGCCTGACATGCGTATATAGGCGGAGCATTAGGTCTACTGCTCCAGCGAATGCTGTTGGGGCTTTCCCTTGTACCACTGGCCAGTCTGGTTCAATACTGCACAGGACGAATGCGCTTCAATGCTCGTAGGCGCTACTCACCTTGTTCTGGGCTTCCAAAGCTTGAAGTATACTATTCACAGCTGCTAGACGCCGTTTACCGACATACTGAAAAGCAGTGGTAACCGCTGTGGTAAAGCATCGCTAGCTACTGGAGATTTATCGCGAATTGTACGAATTGTCTAGAGATAGGTGAGTGACTCTCCTTCAGCTAAATCCCATTTTCCGTCACTTACTCGATAATGTTTAGTCCTAACTTGATAAAATTTGTGGTCGTTTACATCTGTGTCGTATTCGTCCATCCACTCAGTCCCCACAGAGCTGTCAAAGAGTACGAATCCCAGGGCAACATCGGACTGAGCAGAGACAGGGCAAACCCTTATGTATGCCATCTGCGATGGAAACTGGGGATATCAGTCTTTCAGGTGCTTTCAAAGGCTCCTTGTACATGTTCGCTCGTAGCGGGGACTGTTCTGGTGAAAACTTAGATATGCGACGATTACTCTGGAGTGGCAGTCATACCATTAGAAATGGAAGAAAGAACTTGCGAGTCACGAAGTTGCTGTGGGACACCACTACTGTCCTATCTAACGCAACCCCTAGACAAGACTCCAGGGTATTTTTAAGAAAGTTTGCTGGATTCCAGAACCCTCCACCTTCTTCCTCCACCTGTGTTGTGTTCCCATGTCCAGGTGGTGTGATTGCCACAGCATCGAAGTCGTGATCATAAGCCACTGGGAGCGATCGACGGCAACAGACCAGATGCTAATTCACCAAAAATATACCAAACAGCGCCTATATCTCAAAATTTTTTTAAATATTAAGACGGCTCTCTACCTGTTTTTGTCATTATACGTGAACGAGGGCGTCCGCAAATACCTACAATCTAGTAGGCCCATTATGTCCCAAGTGTTTGCCCTGGAGAGGCCAACAAATGCAACAGTGCCGAACGTTTCTTCGTTTAAGACATGAGTTTCTGCAGCAGCATACCCATTAATCCCGTTTTTGAGGTTTAAGCTTCAACACGACTCTGTGCTGAAAAATATCTCTTCATTTACGACCAAGAAAAAGGGTGGCATGTAATGGGGCACGTGACGTGGCAATCATGTCCTGATACGCAAGCTCTCCGGGGTTCCAGGCGGGTAAAACAATCGAAGTGTGCTGCAGGGCAGCCTCACTGCTGGCATGTTCGACCTTTACTCGGATCTCTAGTGGCCCACATGCGGTGGTAGTAAAAAGGTTGTAGGGGTTTGACCACAGACCTAGTCCATCTCCAAGACCAGGACCTACTCCTTCAGGCGTGTTTGCTTCAATTTCTGCAATGAACAACTTTCACCCCGTTAAGCGGCTTCGGCAAACGTGCAACTATACGATGCTGAAGAAGCCTTTCATTGGGTGCGTACTCTAGCTAAGAGCCTCCCAAGAGATGTGAAAAGAGGACGCTCACTCTGCATTTCTTCAGTAAGCCCAATGATAAAACAAATGGCAATAATCGCAACAATTAGCGTGAAGAGGATGCAACTCAACCAGGCAAGCTGTAAACAGGATAGAACGAGCTCCTGTAGCTACTTTTGTATTCTGTAACGATATCGTTTCCCACCAGCAGGTGAACTGGCGCCCATGATGTCATTAGTTTGGTACTTTATCTCTAATCCCTTATTGGCTTGGCTGCTCCCGGCTGGCAAGCCCTTGGAAAAGCTTTTGCAACCCTTTGAAAGTTTCTACCTACCGCCTTTACCACGCTGTGCCTTCTTTTGATAGAACACAGACTCATGATAACACCTGCGGGCACAGCAATACAAACGCAGAAGCGCCACACGACAAACCATTACTGACTGCCATACGGTAAATAAGGAAACCACTCGGCAAGTGTGAGCGTACACCCACTACCTGCAACAGCGAACTCAATTTGTACTAGGAGTCATTGCAAAAATGATGGAAACACCTAGCGACCGAATCGCAACTGCGTTACACTCCGGTTAGCACTAGGACGAATCAAGTTCGTGTCAGAACTACTGCAGGAGGATTCTTCCCGCATGGAATCTTCAATGCTTACATTGAAATATTTAAGCAATACTCAAGAGACTATCAAATTTCCGAACTCACCGATAAATAAAGGCATTCCCAAGGGACAGAATATCAAGGCCCATCGAATGCTGAGGTAAATCACATCACTGGCAACCAGCTGCGGTGTAACCTGTAAAAACAGCTGGTAGGCAATGCATGAATGTGTAGCAGCGAATGGGCGTTGCCTGTGTATGGTTAAGTGCAACCCACGCCTTCTCATCTTTTCTCATCTCACTTATCCAGGGGCACCGGCAGAAGAAGTTTTTGCATGTAAGGGGTATATCTGGCCCCTGTGAAGACTCCTGTGGCAGGTCGTCATCCCTTGCAGCGAAGGCTTTGATGACCTCATCTAGCTCATGAGTATTCTCAGGGTCATTGGCCATAAGCCACTCAAGCTCAGGGATTTTGACATTTTCTTTGCCCAATTGATGCTGAATTAGAGCTAGCTGCTCTTGCATCAATTTATATTTTTGTACCATTGCTAAGTCACGGACAGCCTGCTGCTCCTCATCTAACTGGCGCAAAAGTCGTTCCAGTTCCGCCTCTTCTTCTTCCTTTACCACGCGCAAGTATTGCGGATGATATGGCAAGGAACAAGCATTCTCAAAATCGATAGAACTCTGCGCCTTCCTTATGGGGCAAAGCACACCAGTTGTGGCAAGTGATGAAACAGCTGTGTCATCGGAGGGGGAGCGGTTGACACGAATTGCTACGTCAGCTAAACGTGTAGCATCTACGTCTGCGTCCTCTACATCCCACGCTTCGCTGCCTCTTTCCTTCTGTCTAGTTCGGAGCTGCTCGATAAGTGCGGCGGTTCCAGCAGGACATGCTTCCTCAGGCTGAGTCTCTGCACAGTCCTTTTCAGGTGGGCGTCGAATATCGGCTTCATTATGCAACAAATGCGTGCTGTCAGCTGAGGTCTGAGTCCTACTGGTGGATCCTAATGGCCCAAGTTCCTCATTTGAGGAGATAGGCTCTGCAGTGTCATTCATGAGGGATCGCCCACACTGCTCTCCAATTTTCAATGGTGGTTTGCACCAACGATATAGAGGGCATAGACCAAGGAGTTTTTACTAAGTTTACGCCTAAAAGTAGTGTAACAAAATTCACAGATGAAAGGATCATTCGTACGGCAATACTTCTCAGAGGGGGCCCCTCAGGGGACTGTTTGCCTGATACAAGAGCAAAAGGAGCACGCCATATGGTTTACACTGCAAGAATCCATGGCGATTATAAAATACTACAGCTGTGAAAAAACGCTCATAGTCAAATCAGCTCATAAAGCTCTTTGAGTAGCATATTAATTTATGAGAGGCGATTATCTTGCTGAAAGGGCGAATCAAGAGGTATAAGAGACACATCCAGCGCCAGCACTCCATGAATGTGAGGAGAAAGAAATACAATGGGCGTGAATTAATGCTTGCCTCCTATAGTCTCGTTAACATCAGTTATGTCGTGGAAAGAACGTACATCAGAAGCATACAAGCGTGGGTTGTTCGGGTGACGCGTTGCCGTGTATTTCATTCGGCCCGCGCAAATTTTGACCTTGATTTTGGAAAAGACCAGTCAAACTTAACGACACATCGTATGAAAAAACAAAATAAAGTACTATTATGACGTCCAATGGCTTTCTTGTGTAAGAGTCCTTATACCCTGTGGTTGGGGTGCCCGGCGCGTAACTGCGCAGTGTTCGTCAGAGCAAGTCTATTAGTACCCCAAACTGGGTGCTTGCAGAAGCACGAGTATGAGTCATCTCTTTAAATATAGATATATCATTGCAAATGTAAGGCAAGTATCAAAATGTTGGGCAATGGGTGCAAATGTATGCAGTCCCAGTCGCATTCGCGGCAGCATTGGAACTGGGTGATAGCGCGGTTTTCACTAACGGTGTTTGGCTGTACATTAGGCAAAGATATCCCCGTATGCTAGTACAGCAGACCGAAATTGAGCTTTGTGGGTGCTATTTGAAGCGTTGGTTCCATTTGCTGCCCTGAATGCGGATCATCAGCTACTGCGTGGGGTGTCAGCCCAAATACACCCTAGTATCTTCACTAGTGCTTCCTCCCAAGGTTTGAGGAAGAAGCTCTTGAAAATCCAGCCAATGGAGATGTCATGGGCCAGGATTTGGATCAGACTGTGTGTGCGTATGCAGAAGCTGGGGGAAATACACTGTGTTTTGCACAGTAAACAATGGTTTTCTTCACGCCGTACGATCCTTCTATGGACAAAACTTGCTGTTTGTGAGTGAAGCGCACTTTTAAATAGCCCATTCACTGTTTATTATGCCCTAAATACTGCATTTGATGGCTCATTGGCTTACAGTATACTGAAGCTCGTTGCCGTTCATACTTTTCTCGAGCGTTCCAAACATCCGAGCCTTTATTCGCCTGAATAAGCCAATCCGCACCCGGTTATCCACGTAATTCTTAGGTTCAATAGAAGTACAATTGGCTTCTTTGACTATCTAACCAAGCTTCTGTGATATTATCTCCTGGAATTTTGTGGATGAGGTGCCCATAGAAGATGAAGGCTTCAAGGCCACGAAGCCCTGGATCATCACTAGGACCTCCTTATATATGTATAACTGAGCATCGCTGGTAGACCATTACCATCTGTTGCTGTCGCCTTTCAATACATCATCGGGGCCTCTTGACACTTCAGTGAAGGCCCCCGTATGGGGCGCTTAACGTCAGTCAGTTCGAGCTTCACGAAAAGTTGATAAGCTCTACCTTCAAAAAAGCTTTCTTCACACGCTCGGATCCTTTAGGGTTCCAATATTAGAGGAGAGTAGCAGCTAGCATACGCCTAGCCGGACCCTTTAAACCCTCTGAGCATCATCCTGCGCACGTGCACACAACAATGCATGTTGTTGTATCATGCTAAGGCTACCCTACAGGAAATAAGATGTGCAAACAGACAAACTGCTTTAGCAATGCTTTAGTAATTGTTAGCTAAATAGAACTACTGTGATAGAATGTGCCGATGTGTAACGTAGCCGGCTTACGACACGCTAGCTTATTCCGCTCGTACAGAGAATTCCGTTAGACTACTCTTGAAAGCTTTCATGCAGGCAATGTAGAATTCTTAGCTGTACACACTTGCTTCAGGCTCATCTGAATCGAATGTTGGCCTTAGACTGGCTATACAGAGTAGCACAGTGCATGTGAGCCTAATGGGTTTCTAAGCTAAGCTTTTCCACTAGTATCCGCAAAACCATACTCATCTGTGTTCTGAGGAGAGCAGTTTCATAGTTTGCCAGAACATGAATGCAGCACTGCTTTGTTTGCAGATGGATAGCGAGTAGTCATTAAAAGCAAATTTTTGATTACCAGGCTGAGATCACCACACTCGCATGCGCAGCCCTCCAGATTCCAAGCATAAAAATTTTTTTGTGCCTTGAGGAATAGAAATGCTGTAGGTAATTCATCGAAAGCTCTTATCTAGTGAGGGTCTCAAACATTAAGTCTTTATGACCCCGAGGATGCCACATATGATATTTGAGAGGAAGATTATGGATGCTCTTTCCTCTTGGAGAATCACTGTAAATAAGCGAGCTCCCAGCTGTCAAAAACGCTCCTCGAGTGACTATAGTGTGCACTGTGCCGTTTTCCGAGATGCAGCCATTTTCGTTAGTAAGGCATCAGTTCAGGAAAAATCAAAGAAATTCTCTAGGAAGATAATGGTCTGAATTACTACACTGTTCTCGCAGGCTTCTATAAAAAAAGTGAAACGTGCATTTCCTAACAATTCATCAGCTGAATAGTGTTTTATTGCACTGTGCTGCCAGATTTGTTAGCCTTAGAGTGAAAAGTGACCGATAGCAAGGACTGCAATCGCTGTGATACTAGGGAGTGTGTTTCCAGGATAGTAAATGAACTTTGTGCTGATACGAAGCTGATCACTCCTTCACGAAAAAGAGCGATACGTGCAGCACAGGTATTCTTTTTGAAACCACAACCCGGTGTGTTGGTGGTCCTTCGCGTCGGTCAGTACTAGTTAAATTGTGGTCCATCGCACTGCTGGATTGTGACCCAGCTGCTCCTCAGCCTACACGATATTAAAACTTGAGGGAAGCCGGAAGGCTTTTATTCTCTAGCTACTACGTGAAGCGTGGCTGGCACTTTCAAGATTTGCACGCATTTTCATTCAGATAGCTCGGACACTCTGCCCGTGGAGCACTGGCAAGGAAAGCCGTGCGAGGACAGTGATATGCAGTCAGGGCAAAGTCTGTCCAGTCAAAGTCCTACAGTGGCTAGAGAGTGATATTGAGCTAGAACAGATTATTCATGGAGCTTTGTTTCCGAGCAGAGGCAAATGAGCCGGCAACAACCCATCGGACACCTTGTCCTCCCTATCTCATTAACAAATTCTGCATACGAAACCTTTTTATCGCCGTTTTTGTCGTAATGATTTACTAATGCGTCAAGCTCCGCCTCCGAAGGGTAAAACCCGTGGGCCACTAGCAATTCAGAAAACTCCGTTGCTGTGATATATCCGTCTCCGTTCCTGTGGAAGAAAAAAAGACTCCACACGGAAATTAAAGCATGACTGGATAGTTCACAGCCCAGCAGCATAAGCGAATTCTATAGCCTGGTGGCTTGCATGGGTTGACATTTACTTGTCAAGGTCACGGAATGCAGATGAAAGATCTTTCAAGCAGAGGCGATGTCTCAATAGCTCGGCCTGTTCTTCAGACTGCGTCACCAACAGTCTGCAAACCAGACTGCGCCTTACCATCTAGTTGCATTCAATGCCTGTCCTTTGAATATTTAACCACAAGATCAGAAGCTGGCCTACACCGGCCTGTTCGCCAGAGAGGCAATCCCCCAATAATATACTAAAAGATATTACCCATAGAAATGGGAAGCGTAGCTCCATGTCAAACTCACCGCGACTATTAGGTCGAATATGGAGGCAACGATTTCGAGCGTTTCCGGCGCCAGGTGTGCAAGGGGTGCGGGGCACTTGGGATGGCCATTGCTAATACGGTTGATCATGGCTTTTGCGTACCTCGATTTGGTTGGAAGAAAAGCCTTGGCCATATCAGCGTACCTCAAGCGTGGCTCGGAGTCACTTGTTAGCTTCTCGGCAAAGAGACGGGCTTGCGTCAAAGTTACGTGCAGCCCGATAAAATGCAAGGCATCCTTTATGTGCGGAGCTGTTGCATACCCTCTTCCCTCAGTGTCAAAAAGTCCCCAAAATTGTAGGATATTGAAATCAGACTTGAGTGCAAGCTTCTCTCGAAGGCACTCCAGTCTTCTCTCCGTGTTGATCTGTGAATTCAAGGCCACTGCAACTTCGCATCCGCTAGCCACGGAAGAGTTGCCGAGTTTTTTATTGCCCATGCTGCACAACAGGGTGTTGTCCTTATGTTCTAGTGGAGCGCAAGCGCTACATGAATAGTCGCCCATATTAGATCTGCAAGAACAGGCTCTGGGAGAATACCAAGTGTGCTCTCCATCTGTGCAACTTGTACTGCGCTTGGCTATCGCGCTGCCCTTCTTACGACTCGCCAGCCTGCTGCTGCTTGCGCTGTGGAACAGCGAGCATGGACAGCAGTGGTGTGCTGATGTGTGTAACCAGCGCATGTTTCTTAGAGCTTCCTATAGAGACAGCACAGAACGAGAGGGCTGCCAATTCAAACTTGCACCACAGATGTGGAAATGTCTCCACGCTGTAAACTATCCCAATATAGTAAAACGGTAAGCAGCCACAGGGCCAAAAGGAGGAGGCGTAGAAGGTGTGGCAACAAAGGCACAACAGTAAGAATAAGTAAATTCAACGTGCCAATACGAGTAAAGGAAAATAAATCCTAGGGGCAAGAAAAAGGACACCGAGAAGCTTTCCTCGGAGGGCTGCGTACCGTGCAGATGGGACTGAGTGAGGTGCAGGGACCAGTACAGTTTGAAGGCATCACGGCCTCTACGAACTCAAGGTAGTTCAGCCGGCCGTCGCAGTCTCTGCATCAAGTCGGTCACCACTTCGAACATGTCAGTTTCTTTCTTTGTGAGATTGGAGCACAGATCACTGCAACCCGGGGTTTACACCAGCAACACTTGGTGCTGTGATGGGGAATCGCAGATATAGATACAATTTTTTTCTGGCAGCCATCCAACAGCGCATCAATAACAGTTGTACAATCATCCGCTGGCAAGGAAGTCAAAGCCTGTGCAGGAATAAAAAACAGTGGCACAACAAGGAAGCAGCAAAAAACGGACCTATCAAGCCGATGAAAGATAAGTTGTTGCTCTCTATGTGTCAGAATGAAGCCTTCTCCCGCAAGTGCTTCTGAGAGTGACATTGGAGTGATAGCAGCACTCCTGGATTCTTCAATGAATCGAAAGGCGTCAAGAACCTGGAAATCTGGAATGCCGGCAAGAATCCGACGCTGCACCTCCAGAGTGTGGTGTGCCTCCACCTCTAGCCGAAGTAGCTGGGCTACACAGACGTTTCCTCCGCTGTAATTATAGCTAGAGCCGCCTTGCTCCTCGCAGCAGTGACAGTAGCAGCAAGAGTTCGAGGCGCTGCTCCCTATTGAGTGCTTCAAGAGCTTATCACTGGAAAGCCCAAGATCTTTCTTGGTAGCATTGACAGGTAGCAGAAAGTGGAGGAACCTCGAGAAAAACATTTTTAGCAATAGACGCCACGAGGTATGATTGAGCTCCGCCTATTTTTCTTCACGCCCGCTTTGTTTGGTTGCATACGTACATTCTTCTGACCGCCATGCTTGTATTTTTGCCCCTTCTCGGTGTCCAAGTGGCTACTGATGCCATGTTTTATTCGAGGGCTAACTCACTCCGAAAAAGAAACCTTTCCATCTGAATCAGTGTCTAGGCGCCTAAAGAGGCTGAATACCTCAGGCTCCCTCACCAAAGCCCCATGATGCTTCAGGTACCTTTGCAGATCTCCACCTGTTCACGTACACCTTACTGATATATGCACTGACACATAGACAACGGTTGCTCAGCAATCAGACTACTGGCTGTGTGCTCAGTGCTCACACCATTATGAAACAGAACAACTGTGCTTGTGTCTTGTTGTATTGTACTCGTATAGTGGAGTTGAGGGGCTTAGCCTGAAGTGGTTACATTACTCGTGAGAAAGCCATTGCCTAGTGAGTCTAATGAGGCAAATGCTTTGTAAGCTGCGAAGCCTGGCCGGCGAGTGAGAGCCACGCGTAGCTTATCAACCTGCATAAACGACTCAGGAGAATGATATAAGATAATTTATCGAGGATTCTAAAACCCGTGCTGGCATGTTGGTGCTTGTAGTGCAACCCAGGTATGTTTACTCGACCGTGGCTATTTTCTAGCACGGGCCTCAGATTGTACCATGAAGGTTAGGAGTTTATGTGCCTTCCTAGGGCTGTATTGTTTATCCTGTGGCAGCACACCTGCTCTTCGCATTCCGCAACGGCAGCAAAGAAATGCGCAAGGCGCCTTCTGGCAACCAGTGACAGCGGCATTATCGTTACTATGTAACGAAAGTTACTGCCGTTTCAACCAGCCTCTCAGACCCCCTTCCTGTCTAGGTGACCGCAGGTCGACCCCCCGGCCTGTTCCACGAGCACAGGATACAAGCTGCAAGTGAGGACTGATTCCTCCTAGCTTATCAAAATTGTTATTATCGAGTTTAGATTACAAGCATGTTCTGCGCTGACCTGATATGCTGAGGATTTAAAAGAAATGTAATTGCCTCCTGAGGCGCACCCTGCCGCTCGCTGCACGGAGGCTCCCCTGGACCCTCACGGACGTAAAAGTAAAATAAACTGTAATTAACATCACTTCCCCTCGTGTGTAATACAAATTTTCAATGACTGGACTGTACTTCCATCTGTTTCTGCTTTTCGCTGATGAGGTGTAGGCTTGCGGATGGGAAGCAATGAAGGCAGTCAACCCATGATGCACAGAATGACTACGCCCTCTCTCTCAACAGCGCGCTTCCGTAGTGTCGTACACCTATCAATAAGTAGCACAATTTTGTTAGGCTAATCACTTAACTGAGCCTATTCTTCTGCAGCGTTCCCCGTGGACTGTGGGAGCTTCTTTAGAAAGGCCATCCACTTTTTTATCTGTTCACGTAGTATATTTCCTTTTTGAACCTGCGATGCTTTTCCATGCCAAGGTAGTGGTGGCCTGCTGTGTGTCTACAAGCATATCGTGGAAATGTCGAAAAGCTCAAACGAGTGGTCGAGTATATCACCTTCTTGCACGTATACGAAGAGTACACAAAACAGTACGAGATCATTACGTTATAAGACATCAGCCTGCTGCGAAAAAAAGAAGCAAGGGATAATTGAAAACAACTGTGCTGTAAAGAATAGTGTACTTACGGAAAGGCAGTGAACGGCAAGGCATACACGAACTTTCGTTTGCAGCATATGCATTTGCCCAGCTGTAATGCACAGTTTTCATACACTGATAAAGTGCAAAAAGCATAGCATATGCCTGTCATCATACGAATAATGGAGCGTCAACCTTTTATTTAGCCGTTTCCCTAGTTATCCGTCCAGTACAGTGTACGTGGTGAGCTGAAGTGTCAAATCTCACATGTATACATATATATTGCTTCTGCTTATTTGATAAGTCACACAATGTATGGATATGGAGCTTTTAGTATGATTCCAATGCCAGCTTTGCATTTTTAGTATGTACAAGATACTCGAGCTCCTAAAGAATCGGGATGTAGAGGGGTCTGCCGGTGCTGCTTAATAGGGCCATAAAGTGTGCTAAACAGGTATCTATCAAGCACCATGCCGCGCGATACTAGCGTGTTTCTGAATGCGTCCAGAAGTTGTCGCTCCTCCCCAGGTTGCCTAAGGGCCTGCAAAGGGCTGCTGGACAGAGGCATTCTCATGAGCAAAGTGCGAAGTATCATCATCCAGTTTATTGGTAGTTCTCTTACTGTATAGAAATTTCAACAGGAACAAGGATATGAAGTTCAGCCGTATTCCTGCTGCAAAGGCTAATTGAATGATTCTCATCGGGCTCCACGATACGGCTTCAGTGTAAAGTATGAGGCATGCTTAGCTCGGATAGCGATTCTAGTCACTAACCACGTTTTTCAATCAACTACCGAAGGACATTAAGTACTCAAGTGGCAGGTACGAAGCCAAATTCGATTTCCATCGCACTTGTATTCCCTGACCACGGAACTTTGATAATCAGTCTTCGGTCATGGATATCTTCTTGGAAATATGTAGCATAATCAAATGTACAGGAAACAAATCTGTGGTACTGCAGCTCATCAGTTGGATAGTCAAAACTCCACACTCTTGGGGGCTTCACAGCTAAAACCAGCAAACGAATTCATAACATCGCCAGTAAAGAACGGCTCTACTCGCTATTTCCAGTGGATCCTGGGCATCTTCAGCCCATCTTAAGTGCCTTTTTGTTCGTTGCCACTTCGTGTATCTTCATATTCGCTGTTTGGGGTGAGTCTGCTGCCACTAGAACCACTTGTTGCTAGATATCCAGCACTCGAGTGAGTAGCTTGGCTGTTCATTCCTGCTGTGGCTCTCATGTATATATCTGCTGCTCCAGAATCCCTGCTGGAAGAAGGCGATAAACTGTTCATAGCTCTCGGTGCCTTCAAATTAGCCCCTTGGTGTTCCTTTGCTATCTTTTTGGCCTCCTTCTTGATTTGCTTCCTTGCAGTCTTCCTCCTCGAACTATGCCGCCCTACCGATCGCATGCATTTGAAAGGAAATGCGATGCACTTGCAAAAAACTTTTACTAGCGGTTTTGCAACCGGCCATAAGAGGACCAGTGCCACAATCGATATCCCAACAAGAAGAATGATCTTCAATGTTTTCTTCAGCGTACCCCAACAGTCGTTCCCTGGGACATATCGACAAGCAGAAACTATCAGTCTGCAATCAAAAGTATAATGGCTGCACAAAGGGCCAAAAATCCTTACGCAGCTAGCTCACACGGTCTCTGCCCAAAAATATTGCCCATCAGCACCGAAACCTGCAGTACTTGCTTCTATCAATGGTCTGCCTACTGCTGGTGCTGGATGATTCGCTGAGTAACTCTGGCTTCCAGCCTCTTGAAAAAGGGGCTGTGATAAGGGAAGGCTGCCTCGGCAAGGGGCCTCACAATCAGCAGGGAGGCATAAGATGTTCCAAAAGGAACAGTCACATTCTCCATCGTTGGGAACGACATTCATTAATTTCTGGTACCAATTCCTTGTGTCCTTAGATGCACAACAGCAGAGAGAGTAAACATCTGGTGGTGCTAATACTAGGATTTCATTTCAGTGGAAGGATGTTTATCTTAGCCTCCCATGACTAGCACGTGCAGTGGTGCCGTTGTCTCTTTCACTCTACGTCGTGTGAACAGTGCACTTCAATGGGGGATACAAAGTTCATCAGCTACTCACAGGTGGTGGCTCAACAACAGTAACCTCCCCTGTCGGATTTGTGACCGCAGCCGGCAAGTCCTACACAAATTGCACACGTGTAAGTGGTCAGAAGCACAACACGGCGATGCTAGCATTCGTGGAGTTTGTCATAAATAGAACTTCAAAACACAGATATGTCTTTGGATTGTCTTTTTCTGTCGAAAGCATAGAATACCTTTCAATACTACTGTACCAAAAGGAAGCGAACACACTTCGAGGAGCTCAAGCCATGGATACCCGAAAATGCCTCTTACCTGTGCTCGCCCCGTAAGAAGATCAAATGTTCGTATGTCAAGTTGGTTGAGCTCTGAGTCATATAGCTTCATTATACAGTTGAAATCAAATTCCTGGACAACAGCAACGAGACGGAGAGTCAGGTCGAACGCCTGGGTAGTGCCAGCTGGAATACTCCGCTTCACAGCTGGTACAGGGTCCAACTGAGATGACACAGCCATTACATGTGGATGACCAGGCGTATCTAATGCTTTGCAAAGCCTCCATCTAGGGCTCGTTTTTCATACACAGTGTAGTGAACTGATTGCAACTGCTTGAGTGGAACAGCATTGGTACCGTTTGGGGTTAGCCCTTTTACGACCACTTCCAGATTTGCGCAGTGAATTCTTACTTTGTCTGTTGGCTCGTTGGTGCCATGCTCTGTACAATATGGTAGCTCCAAATAATATGTTGCATCGACAGAACCTGAAGCAACAGAACATTAGGCAGCAATAGGGGAAGCAACTGTGGCCCTGTTCAAATAATTGCATTGCAAAATTTCAGCATTGGACTATAAGTGCTTCCACACATACAGAGGTACGATGCGTGGACTACGCAGGTACAGTACATTTGCTGGAGGCCAAATTTTCCGGAGTCAACATAGAAGCCCTACCTGAATTAAGCACATAAACCTTTAGTGGACACCCAAAGATTTGCGCGTTATCGCACTCCCGTGCAGCTGGAGGACTGCAGCAATAGCATAGAAAAACCGTTTGCCAGAAGAAAGCAGTAGGTTGCCCAGATACTGCAAGCACCCTCTGTGTCAACTTAAACCATAGATTTAGGTGAAGCGCTTCAGTGACAACAATTTACATCAGGAAATGAGCAAAATTACAGCTGTTGGACGTGGGACAGAGCTTACGCTATGCTAATTATTTGACCTGGGGCAGTTGACTGAATCCAGCGGATCAAACCAGCATTCATTTCAATGCGCACTCGGCTTTTGTGACTGCTCGGATAAGAGAAAGCCAGGCGCTGCAGTTCAAAGGATCCAGCTTTAGAAGTGTCTATTGCGTCATCGGTGTTGTTGAGACCACCATAGTACCGAGGGTAATGGCCGACTGGATATGTCAGCTGCGCCAAAACAATACCAAAGCATCAGATCCCCTATTTGAATTCTCTCAATATATCTGGTACCGCAAAGCCTTGTGTGTTGCTTGGTGTTGCCGTGTTGGGGCACGTCTAAAGGAGGCATAGGGCAAGCAAGTGGAGCATCTTGTGCATGGATTACAGCATAGAGGGGGTCCCTGCCAGCTTGTGTTGCTGCTTCATTGTATGCGTGAAACCAATTGAGATTTTTCGCAAAACACGATCCAGGTGCATAGTCACAAAAGCCATCTCTTCCCCATTGCTGCAACGAAACGCCTGGTAGGTCGCACTGGCTGCCATCCACGCTGACATTTTGCTCATCGAGGACCAGCACGTGTCTCAGGCAGCTCTTCGGATTGCAGAACGGCGAGCCTAATGGTGCGTAGCTCCAATAAGCATGCATGTAAAGTAACACAGGGTTTCTTAGCTTCTTTTATAACCTGTGGCCCGTGGCAAGCAAAGCACGACGAGCAGTTCCCGATTTGCATTGCAACCTTCTGGAGTACTGAACAGCACAGCAGGGCATAGCGGGTGCCGCACCTGACTTGCAAAGTCTTGCCAGGTCAGGATTTTCCTCTTCACTCACCCCCCAGTTGGCAAGGTCATCCGAATCGGAGCACCCTTCCTGTATACCGATGCATATGGCTCGCCACACCAGAATCAAGCCTCGGTCTGAGATACATGGTTGAGACTTTGTTGCCATTGACCAATTTATGGCAGTCTTTTTCTTCATAATTTTTTTACTGCTGGTAACACTAATTACTTACTGTAATGAGTGATTCTTGGACCCAGGCATTGGTCGAGGGAGCAGTTGGCACGAAAACATACTTACCCTTCACATTTGGTTCCTGCAGCGCACAGCCTCTTCGTGTATTCCAGGCTTAACTGTCTACCTAAAGCTATAGGTGTTGGTAATGCAAATATTCCATCTAGTGCAGTGGTGCTACTCGGCATGTATTGAGCAATACTCTCCTTCCGTAATGCAGCTTACAGGTGTTTCTGGGATGTCTGAACTGATAAGGCGAGCTGTGACATCAAAGATTGCTGCGTACATTGTACGCATGTGAAGCTGCTGTGTGTCATGCGCGGTAGCCACAGTAACCTCGCAATTCAAGGCCAGTGTCACGATGAGCACTGGACATCAGAACACTGCAAGCTGCTGCAATGCGAGCTCAAGCCAGGGATCTCAATACACTGGAAACCCCCAGGCAAGATGCACCCCCAACAAAACACAAACCCGAATACCTGGGACCGAATCGCAGCTGCCTAGACTGAGTTGTAAGTACTAGCACAAAACGTTGCTGTTTTGGTAAAAGCGATAACTCAAAGTTTTTCAAGGCATCTGTGTATAGAAGAAGGAGCGTGGTGACTTCCAATGTGGTGATGTAGTCATATATGTACTACTGAGTGACTTACTATCTCTAGCAACCGGTGTGGTGTCTGAGAGTTCGAGAATGACGTCAGCCATGCCAGCTTCCGTGTGCAGCCGAACAGAACAGTCAAAATTTGGGGGATAGCTTCCCTCTGCAATTTTCTTTTGACACTGAGCCTTGTATTCATCATCCGAGAGGCTCAAGGGTGTGGGAGGACCTGAGTACGCAACTGAATGCCCCGAATGTCAGTGGCCTAGCTGTAGGTTACCCTCTCTTTGTAAGCTACATGTCGCCTACGAGTCCTCGAGGCGCAGTCGAGTCTGGCTGAGCCTCAGTGGTGCAAACTTAGTGCGTATGCCGCGACGTCTGGATATATTTGCAAAAGCTCCTGACCAGTCCAGGGTTCTGCCTGCATCATTCTACAGGAACTCGGAGGCATGCTGAGGGTAAAGCGTATCCACTCACTCCACCAAGATACTCCGATATGCACCTTGAAAAACCACGTTCTTGCATTACTAACTCTCAGCATCCGATACCATGGATATTCGACCACAGGGCAGAACTTTGTAAGGTATGGATCTGGGATCTTGCCAAAGCGCAATCCTAAGTAATTTGGAACACAGGAACGATCTAAACAAGTCATGATCTTGCCAGAAAGATATTTATTGCGCTTAATTCAAAGCTACCAGTTAGTCCTTTTTCGTCGAATCGGTCAGTGTTGCTTTGCCATGTACACCAGCTGACAAAACGTGGAACTCACCCCAAAAGTTGCACTTTAGCATGGGCTCCCTACCACGATTTGGATTTTTAAGCCAAAGATGCCACACGGATGGGCACCAGCAGCACTTTCCTTGAGCGCCGTCTAGTGGAAGGCCCGTATTGGGGCTTATGGGGTAGCCGCTGTCTCCATGCTCATCGTGGCATTTGGATCCCCATGCATCGGAGCAGAAGGCCTCTCCGCCATCCTTGACCTGCCATAAAAGAGCGCGGTGGGCATACTCGACCCAGTTAAATGGAACTGCCTAAGCGTCGGCAGCACATCACAATCCAAACTTGTCCACTGAAAACTCATTTCAAGCACCTAGCCTTAAGCCATATATGTAGAGCTTGTATCCTGCAACTGTGCCCTCCACATTGAAGTAGAATTGTTTTTAAAATTATGTGTTCAGATTAATTCCTTGGCGCTGCGTATGGGCCTCGTGTCACGATACGGCACTGCGATTCGCATGAAAAGCAGCAGCTACCAAGGGCCCACATACGCATGCAAAGTACACTACTTCAGGGTGGCACACCTTAATGTAGCTGAGGCTGTACGAGTAAGATACGGCTGTCTTTTGCACTGTAATGACAACCCCCGCGTTTCCTGCATCGCTTTTTTGAGGTGACCGGCCGTTGATATCCCCAGCTTCCCATTGGAACTGTAGCTTCTGAATCACTCCAAACATAGGGATTGAGCCATGTGGACTCTTTACAGATCAGGTGGCCTAAGCAGAAATACAGAAGCAAATGAAGCTCTTCTAAAACGGTTCCTAGCAGTGATACGAGTGGGACCCTGGCACGCAGTTCAGGAAAGACCTCATGGTGAGGACAGCGCACTGAGAAGTACTAGCTTTAAAAGCAGTCATACATCTTGGTTTTCAACATCAACGTCAATTATAAGCCTCTGCGTACATCCCGAAGTCCCATTAGAGCATACGGTTTCCACACTTGTGGTACCCTGGCCAAGGCACTCGCTTATAAGGAATGCCAGGCAGCAGAAAAGCATTAGGGCGTGACATAGCACGTTGGCTGATTGGATAAAGTCTTTAAGATATCCTATGAAGGTGCGAGGAGTCCTCTGGAGTGTCAGGGAGTAGGATGCACTCTCGTTGTAACGAGAACTCCTCAGGCACACGCTTGAGCCAACTTCGCGTTTCCGCATCTGCCTATTAGACTGTGGGCACCTCCAGCTTGTCATGCTTGACAAAAGCCTAGCTCCATCCATGGTAAACCTCACCACACGTCGAAATATGGAAGGGAGTTAGACGTCAATCCGTCTTACTAGTTCAGTTAGCCACAGGCACAGGTGGATTATAAGAACCGCCTCCCTCAGTAACCACCGAAATACGGCTCTTCGGACACTTGAAGTAATCGGCTGCGAGATCATCCACGTGAAAATGGCTTATTTACACCCCCATCCTCCGCAAAACCGGAGGAGCACCTAGATTCCAAAGTCGCATTGCGCATCTGCTAAATGGCAAGTCAAATACGTTACTTCAGAGGGATCCTAAAAATCTAAACAGTCATGGGATATGAAATCACTTGGTATAAAAGGCTAAAGTGCTGCCGAAGCTTTGATTCTGCCTGTCACATCCACAGGTAAATCCTAAGGCGGAATCCTTGCCAATTTGTTGGTATATGGAGGTTTGACGATGCAGAATCACGTAAACAGAAGACCACCCTAGTTTGATTGCCACAGCTACTTCATCTCGAATTGCCGCTGCGACTTATCCTTCCTAGTGTGGTGCATAAGGCAAGGAATGAAGAACAGCTCGGTCCCGTGAGAAAGATGTCCGTTTGTCACGAGCGGCGTACTGTTGAAGTACTGCTTGTCCCCAGTAGCTGAATATCAAACCCACTGGAGTGCTTGCGCTTTTCCATCTCAACAGTGCAGCAGACAATTATGCGGCGACATGATCGACTCGCCAATGGTATTTCAGGTTTGCTGGAGGAGATGCGTCAAAGTGGGAGTTCATCGAGGAGGGAGCATAAGCAGAACCGCCGCAAAAGGTGTCTTCTATCTCCTGAGTCCGGGGATTTTTCTGAAGTTCGCTTTACCAATTACTAAAGGACTAAAAGGTGGAATGCTAGCTGACAAGGTCTTTAAGTGCAAAGGTGATTTTTCGTATTTCGTGACGCCTGTAATCCTTGCATGTTAATATTTTGGGGTTAGACCCGAGGAAACAGTTATACTGCGCTGTAGACTATTGGAGTCATTAAAAGCCAAAGGTGTGTAGCACAACCAGGTGCAGCACCAATTTCCTCCTGGCACAACTTTGACTCTTCGAGAAGGCAGGAAGTGAGTACACAATAATGCAGCTGTAGACTTATTAAGTACAGGAAGCGCAGAGGCTTCTATGCTGTATGTGTCACCCCCTAAATTCCGGAGATTACACTGAGGGGAATTTCCACCTAAATTAAGGTTGGCGAACAGGGCAGACGAGACGCTCAGACCAGTAAGTTACCCACGCTGCACAATCCGTATTGTATTACTTCAGCTTGTAGCTGATATGCCACAGAATATTTATAGATCCAAAAGAGGTTTCCTTCTGCAGCGGACAGTGATAACTGGAGACACCTGATACTTTTAGGCCGGACTTGGAACGGTCGCATGCAGCCCCAATCATGTGGACATTCGTTGTGTAAGCAACTACACGATTTTGCGCTTAAATTGCTTGAGGGTGGTAATGGCTTGCTCAATAGTAATACATTCAAAATCTTTATCTTTTCATTAATGCTCGTGTACTCCAGGAAGCTCACGATCCGTTAACAAAGTGCAAAGCTGGTAATTTACTTTACATTCTATACTTTTTAAGAAAATACTCAGTCAAGCTGGCAAAACTACCCTTGACTTTAGATCGTGTTGGACATAGTTGAAATATGCTGTAGCTGACTGTGCGAACGGGATGGCTGTGCATGCTCGCTTTTGGACCCTATGTATACCTACACCACCAGCACTACGTTTTCCTATGTAGCGGGTTGAGTTAGCCCCAAGCATTTTCATTTCACGAGCTGTATTTAGATAGGAATCTATAAAGGATTGAGCGGTTGACTTGTCACTTTGTATGTCTTGCTTCTAGCAGAGAGGCGTTGCCTGAATACAACGGAACGCGGTGTTGTGTACGTGCAATAGATGCCGTGAGTAACTATCTATGAATGCTCCGAGTGCTAAGAGGATGCAGGTGCGCGCACCCCGGCTGTCCATCTTCCCTCATTCCGGAACCCTGGTGGACGCGGGTAGGGAAAGGAGGGAGCTCTTTTTAGGGAAAAACTCAACAATTTTCTACTATGCTTGTACAAACTCAAGTCAGTTTTCCTACGGAAGCCATAGATAAAAGGCTACAGTTGGCGGCACCACGTGGTACGATGCAGATGTTATCCGGTTGTCCAGTGGCCGTGGATGCACTTGGTTGTCATTTCTGCACAACAGTGATGCGGTGTCGATCAAGTCATTTGGTGATTCGATGCTTTCTCTAAATAATGTCAGTCTTGGAGAAAACTTTTTGGCGATGGAAGTAGACATGACACTTGATGAGGCGGCAGAAGCCGTTAAAAACTGATGTGAATGCCATAGCTCACCAGCTGGTAGAGAGGCATAATTTGTCAGCAAAAAAATTGTTTGTGAATGCGGCGATGAGCTTAACGCTGCCAAAGAAGTATGCTGACTATTTATCCAGAAGAAGCTCTCTGCCTGAAAAGATGCCTACTCCTCAAACCTTTAATGGGAGCTCTGACTTATCGGTTTGTGCCGAGACAAGCTCTACAGCAAGCATTGGAGCAACTGAGAAAGCGGAGCGGGAGCTCTAACAACAGGTTGGTAAATAAAAGAACATAAAGCTTGGTCTCCAAAACCCACAGCACAGACGAGCGGCTGCTTTATCAGTGGCATACCTGGTACGAGGATGGGCAGCCATCTAGCCATTAAACAGCTTGCTCATGGGGCTTTGGCGAGTAAAGGACTTATGGGGGCATAAAAAGCAAATAAGACTGACTCTTGCAACTTTTGCTTACACGGAAGAGCCAAGTTGGAAGCTAGAGTCTACTGATGCCGCGACTGTGTCAACCGGCCTTACCCTAACGGTTCCCTTCAGTTTTTGAGAAATGACAGCCAGAGAAGACCAGCGCTTGGCAACGGCCGCCGACAGTCTAACAAAGCACAGATGATTCTACTGTGATAGTTTGATAAAGAATCTAGAATTGTCACCACATGCAAACAGCCTGCGCACTTAAACGACAGGATGTTGGAACAGGCTGTTTGGCAAGCGTAGAAGCCGCAGCAGGAAAACGGCAAGCCTCTTATGGAGGCCGAGATGCAGAGAAAGAGACCAAAAAGGCTAGATCCGCAGTGAGAAATTCACTGTGGGTCGATTGTGGGTTAATTGGAGTTTACATGAATGGGCCACACTTCTAACGTTACTTGGCAGTCAATATGGAAGGGAAATGTCACACAAGGACGGCACAGAAACGCAGTAGGGCTGTTTGACTTGATAGCGCAGTCTCTTAGCGTCCCATCTGCTGACGTGCGGCCAAATGCAGCTGCTTCGGCTACAAGCCACTTCAAAGTGGAAAAGCGTGTCCAATAAGCATGGCCTGCGGCTTGTCTGTTAAACATGCGCACCGTGGCGCAATCGTGGACGTGCCATGGGAGGCCCAGTGGAAGATGCGAATGCCGTCATATATACAAGCTGTGGAGGTAAGTGCGCCAGAAATCATCAGTAAAGCACCTCCTGTATTCTCAGAACAGTGTTTCCTCATATGACGAGCGTGGTTGAGTACATGCTACAACACGGAAGGCAGAGGCGCCCTGCGGGCGATTCAGCGGACCAGTAAGACAGGACGGTTTTGAGAATGGATTCTGTCTTGCTGCTCTGCAACTGGTTCTTCATTGGAAGTTTCGATTGAATCACTCCACTCAGGAACAGCAGGAATAAGTGATCATCCAAGAATACTTTTCGGATAGGCCGAATAATGGTGAACTGCCAGTTGGCTGACAACCTGGTAGTTGACCAGCAAACCATATCCCCTGGTGAAGTGCATATTGAGCTTCGTTGCACCGTAAGCCCCCACAGCATAAACAGCAGATGCTGTTTTGTTGGAAGGGCAAGTTACAGGAGTAGACCAGCGGCTTGGAAGATGACCCCATATTGGTGCGGATAGGACGTAAGGTCACATGCGCATCAACTTTAGCCCGCCGAGCGAAATCTCCGTGAAAAAAAATGTAGCTAATGCCTCATATTGTCAGATTGATTTACACGCAACAGACCAACAATCTACTAGGCATCAGAATTTACAGCTGCCTGCTTTCAAATTTCGGTTTACCCAGATAGCATGCACAGAAGGGCGCTTCACGCTTGCACTCGAAAACTCAAGTATATCTGTATGCTAATTGTACTACTCGATACTGACGTGTCCGAGCTGCGAAGGCATGTCAATTTGGATTTTACAAAGCCTTAAAAGAGCACATAAAACACATCTATGTGGATGGCATCTTGTCTTTGAGCCGAAAGGCTTAGCCAACCACAAAGCTTACAGCATGCGCTTCAGCTGTTGCCAAGCAAACAGTGGTATGTAAAGGCACGCCGGCGCCTATTCTATTTAGAGGTAAAAGCCGCTAGAGGCATTTCTTTTACTGGTTGCGCAAAACAAGCCAGATCCAGCAAAATCGATGCATTCAGGGAGTGGCCCTTTCCCTCATGCTCCAACGAGGATGCGAGGTGATAAGGGCTTGACTCTTATTAACCGAAGCTTCAAATTCGGATGCGCTGAGTCCGCCGCTCCTCCAATTGATCTACTTTAGAAAACGCACCCTGTGCCCTTAATAGAAAAGCCTGTTTATGCAGCACGGACAGTTGACGGCTGCCTGACAAGTCCTCCATTACTAGCGCTTCCCGATTACAAGCCCCAGTCCCTTCAAAGACCGAGAATATTAAATTGGTGGTGACTGCTATTGTCTCTCAACGCCCTACCGGCTCTCGAAAAGACACCAGGCGACTGCTAATTAATTTCATTGCCTCACCGACATTCTGTGTGGCACTCAATGCTACAAAGAATGTTCATGCCGCGTGGTGAGGCGTGAAAACTCCGGCAATATTTATCTGGGCGTCAAGTGACTGTCTAGACCAACCATCAGCCTTAAGTGTACCTCAAAAATGGTTTACATGGCTTTTTGTCCCAGGGTGGTTTGCTGGCTTGAGCACCACCTGCAGGATGAATTCACAATGAAGT